TAATTTAGCCTTTTTAGCCTTTAAATTAATAATAAAGGTAATCGTTTTACGTTTTCTAATTATAAATAATATTATATAGATCTAAATAAGCTTATATAATAAACTATAAGATTTATATAAAAGTATATTAAATCGTTTAAAGCTAAATAAGTAAATATAAAATTAAATAAGATCGTTTACTTTTATCTAACTCTATATAAAGATAGATAAAGTTAATAAATTATAAATAAATAAGATTAATTTAAAATAGATTTATTAATATTAAATTAAAGCTATACGAAAATAAACTAAAAAAGAAAAGTAAGAATTATATTTAAACTATATTAATAGATACTATCCGAGCTTATATAGCTTCGGACGGCTTCGGATTAATTTATATAAAAGTCTCCGGGTTTCGGATCTAAAAAGGGAAGGAATATAGCCTTAGAGGAAGGAATAGAAATAATAGTTTTAGAATTAAGTAATACTATAAAATCCCTAACGATTATCGTTTAGTTCTAGGCGATACTTTAATTAATCGCCCTAGGACGAAAACTAATTTAATTTAAGCGTAAAAAATAGTATTATATAGTCTTAATTAAAGCGATTTTAGTAATAGTAGTATTTTCGTAATAGATCTATAGTATATTAAGGTATAAGGGGGTACGATTTACGTAGTAGATTATTAATTAGTTAAGAAGAAAGAATATAGATAGGCTTATAAATATAGGATAACGCTCTATAGAATAGCTAGTAGCTTCTAATTAACTAGAATTTTTAGGTAGTATAGAAAATATATATATTAATCCTAATTAGGGCTAGTATCTCTATTTTTTTCATTTTTCAGGAAAGACCCTCTAGGGTCAGTATATTCACATTTTTAGTTTTGAGCCAGTTCGGCCTGCAGTCTTCCGTATGCCTGCTTCGAGTGCCAGCCCGTCTCCAATCCAATCCATGCAGCCTGCCCAACCCGATCAGTCAATATCCGTGCTTCTTCGCAAAAAATTCGGCCAAAAGCCCGGCGAAGATTGCGGTGCCAACATAGCTGCTGCCACGACCAAACGCCCAAGCGCAGCTGTTGCCATCTTCTAAATCGACAACCCAGATCATCCTGGTCAACAAGATAGCAGTTACGCCACAGGAAATGGCGTAGTATGATGCCCCAAAACCTGCCAGTTGGCCCGCTGCGACGAGAAAGTAGACCTGCACGGCAGTCGCTATGTAGCAGGCTGGTTTCGTTCCCCTCCTTCCGAGACGCACAGCGAGTCCTTTGACACCGGCCTTCAGGTCATCGGTGTAGTCCTGATGAGCGTAAATGGTGTCAAAGATGACGGTCCAGAGGATGCCGGCGAAATATAGGCATGCCGCTGACTGGGCCAGAGGTGCGCCGAGGACCTTGGACACGCCAGTTGAGAGGTCCAACGAAGACTGGTCCAAAAGAGGCGCTAACGGGTCCTTGTCGAGCATTGCAGCTACCATAAACACAGCATAGGACAGCCCAAACCCCAGCTCAACTTGCGGGTAGTTTGTGCAGCGCTTCAGGAGGGGGTAGATGAACAAGAGAACGCCATCTACGATGGCGTGAGTCCGAGTCGAGTCGCCGAGGGGGTACAAGATGCAGGCCCCAAGGGCGATCTGTGCAGTAGTGAAGATATGCGCCTGCATAGTCGTGACAGCGCCCCGTGGGATGGGCCTCAGTCGGCAGCGAGTGACCTGACGATCAAAGTCCTGATCTAGGTTGTCGTTCCATGTGCAGGTAATGCCGCGGAAGGTTATAGTCCATAGTCCCAAGTACGCTGCGAGGAGCACAAGCGTCTTCAGATCGAGATCGCTGGAGAAAGGGGGGATATTGATGGCAAAACCAAGTCCTATTAAGTAGTGCCAGTAGAAGGCCCAGAACCCTGACTGGCGGTCGAGACGCATGAGTTCGGCGTACGGGACCCATGCGTCTGGTATGAAGCGAAAAATGCCATGACTTGGCCTGCTATAGATTTTGACTTCATCCATGACGGAGTAAGAGAGTGGTGCTCCCCGGAGTATGATGGGCAGAACTGATGCGGGATCTCTAGGGTCGCTAAATGTTTGCTGAATTCCCGAGAATGCCGCGGGCTGAAGGATCGAAGTGAAAAGGGATGTCGTGGCATTACCGAGGCTGAAGAGACCGGACCTATCACTATCTTTATCATTCATCATCGCATTCTTATCAGGTAGAGCAGAGTGTGTAGACGTCTTTGGCCTAATGTGTTCCCAGGAGCGACAAATCAGGGCATATGCACGACAATGGCACAGAAGCAGCAAGGGGGTCTAACTTGAGATCATTAGTTGCCTTACGGGCTTTGTTCCGGCTTGCCTGCATAGATCAAGGGAGGGGGTGAAAACACCGGTCCGAAATGATAGCAGCCCCGCTCAAGAAGGCTGCAGTCAGCAAGTAAACTTTACGAGCAGGCAAGTATGCGCCCGAATCCTTCTGATAGTGCCATTGGCTTGTACTATGTAAGGTAACGTCAGAATCCTAGAGATAGCAAGTTTATAACCCCTGCCCGTTGGGTGAGGCGGCCCGTACCGGAAGGGAAAAGAATTCCTTCCGGGGGGGGGGGGGGGTGGGGAACTGTTTGCGCCGATGTTGTATGGCATGGCCCATGTATGTCAGTTCTCGGTCCTGTTGAGTGAAAACCAAGCGAGATGCTCGAACTAACCGCAGCCCCGATACCACCACAAGGTTGATCACCACAATACAACTCTCGCAATGAAGGCCTCGATACTATCTCTGTCCTGTATTCTCTGGGTCCTTGCAGCTGGTGCCAGCGTCCCCAGATACTTTGAGAAGCACGCGATCACACGTCGTGACTTGACCGCCAAACAAATCCGAGAGGAACTCGGCCTCCGGGTCTCCAATACCACCTTGATCTTCGGACCGGAAGCTTGCCGTTTCGAAAAAGCCACCTCCAGATGGACGGACTCTTCCAAGCCTGATGTCCAAGTTGTGATTGAGCCGGGAACTGAATCAGACATCGCGACAATTGTAAGACCTCAAACCACCACCCTACAAGGAGAGATCCCGCATGCTGACACTGCTTCCGAAAGGTCCAATACTGCAACGCGAACAGCATCGAATTTTTGGCCCTCAATGGCGGACATGGCGTGGCGGCAAGTCTCAGTACATTCAGTGGCATTCAGATCAGCATGCGGCAGCTCGACAATATCGCCATTCAACCCGGCGGCAAGTCGGCCTGGTTCGGAGGCGGTACCGTCGTGGGCCCAGTTATCCGCCATCTGTGGGACAAGGGCTTTGTCACCACCACCGGTGGGTGTGAATGCGTCGGCATGCTAGGCGCCGGTCTTGGGGGTGGTCACGGCCGTTACGAAGGCCTGTACGGTATGATCAGCGACAATATGCTGCAGCTCAACGTTGTCTTGGCCAACGGCTCGACCATCCGCACCAACACTACGAGCCACAGCGACCTTCTCTGGGGCATGAAAGGGGCCGGGCACAATTTCGGCATTGTCACGAGCTATGAGATGAACATCTTTCCCCGGGGCCCCGAAACCTGGCATTACCACAACTACATCTGGCGCGGTGAACAGTTGGAGGCTGTCTTCAATGCCCTCAATCTTTTTCATGGCAACGGCTCAACTCCCATTGATATGGCCTTCAACGTTGGAACTTTCCTGATGGACGCTTCCGTGAGTAGTAAGGAGCCTGTTCTCTCTTGGACGTTTGCCTATCGCGGCACCTCCGAGGAGGCCGAGAAACATCTCGCCCCCATGAACGCTATAGAGGCCGCCTACGAGGAATTCGGTGACGTACCCTACTCGCAGATCGCCCATGCGCAGGGCACAGGCATGTCCGACCCCATCTGCCAGCATGACGGTGTGCATATCTCGTCGACAGCAGGTCTCCAAGTCTATAACCTGACGGCCGAGCGCCTCATTTACGAGGGGTTCAAGATGCGCGCGATCGAAGACCCAGACCTCGCGGCTGTGACAGGCATCATGCACGAAGGCTACGCGACGGCCGGGGTCGAGGCCATTGACTCGGCGAGTTCGGCGTACCCCTTCCGCGCCGACCGCCACCTGATGTTCTTCAACGCGGCCGTAACAGACCGCGATAGCGCCCTTGAGGAGAGGGCCAGGATCTGGGCCGCCGAGGTCAGTAACCAGTGGAACGCGGGCCAGCCGGGCCGCACCAGCAATGTGTACCTCAACTACGCCACCAGCTTCGAGACCCTCGAGGAGCGGTACGGCCACGAGAGCTGGCGCATCAAGAGGCTGCGAGGCCTCAAGGCCCAGTATGACCCCAACAACCGCTTCCGCTACTACAACCCCATCGTGGTTGACTAAAACAGAGAGCACAAGCCGTTTGTACGTACTCTAAAGGGGTGGCTGAGGGGAGTATTGGAAGAAACTTGTACGCTTTCCAAGGCTTTTCTTCGGCTTGCGAGAATTTAAACCCCCAATATTTCACCGCACGTGAGCGATATGCTCGGAAAAAACGATGACCAACATTTCCCTGCTTGCGTGATCATTTTACACTTTTCCACTCGTGATGTACGTGGTCGCTTCAGACACAGAAAAATACCAAGCTTGGATCAACAATGGCGTGACTTGACTGACGCCAGCCCTTAAACCGATAGTGCGGTGATCAACAACACCGACGAATTCTACAATGCTGTGCTTTAATGTCAATCGAGAGTGATGCCGCCTCGTCAGAACAGGGACACAGTCACCAACGAAAATGTATCGCATTGCTCACCCAAACTCGAATCATCAGGCATAACAATACTACGCGCCGCTGATATGTAGCCTGCTTTCGGAGGTCACGCTGTTTGATTTGACTCAATCCAATGGCTTTTCAAGACAAACAGTAAGCACAACCACAACATCCAAGCTTAGGCAGCTAGCAGCGACGTTGTAGCGTATGTCGTCAGGCGCCTTTGGCAGGCTTTTTCCAATCAGCTATCTGTTTTCCTATGACATAGAACAGGTACCATCATCAGTGTAACCCCGGCCCTGATTGTCCCTTACTCTTCGTTGGGGGTGAACACAACAGATCGACCAGCGTTAGACTCCGTCCCAGCTACTTGCAACGCTTCGGCAAAGTCCTCCATATTGAAGGCCCTGTGGATCTTCAGACCCGCCTTCTCGCCCAGCTTCAGAACTCCCGTCTGCACAAGCTTGACGAGATCCTCCTCTTGACTCCAAGTACACATCATTGTCGCCCGAACGGTAATGCCCTTGAGTTGGAGGAGCGGGATGGGTATCGAGATCTCGGGCACGCCGCTCATCAGGTTAGCCCGTCCGCCGGCCTGGAGAGAGAGCATCCCTGCGCGAATGTGGTCGGTGTTCGTGGCCGTCTGCGGAGTCATGTCGAGGAAGACGTCGATAGGGCCGAATCTCGAGATCTCGGATAGGTCCGTCTCCCAGCTGCCGCTAAGCTTGACCGTCTCGACCCGTCCCGGTGCCAGGTCCATGAGTTCTTTCAGGACCTTCTCGTTGCGGCCCATGGCGATGACGCGGGCCCCCATGGCGAGGGCGACGTGCACGGCCGCGCCGCCGAAGTTCCCCGTCGCCGGACTGATCAGGACGGTCTCGCCCGCCGTCAGGTTCACGTCCCGAAGGCCACCGTACGGAACGGCCATCTGCCCGAAGAATACGAGGTCGCGGGGGCTGACGCCGTGTTTCTGCAAAGCTCCTTCATCGAAGCGATGCACGGACTCGATGGGGGCCTTGACAAGCTCGGCCCAGGTACCGTGATGCCAGACATCTTTGGCAATTGCTTGCATCTCACCTGTGGCAGCAAGTAGCGCCAGGAGCATGATCTGGCCCGGGTCGTCACGCGGGCGGATCGTGGGGTCGACAATCACGAGGTCGCCGACTTTCAACTTGGCGGCATCCGGGGGAACAGCGACGACGCGCCCTACCGCGTTGGTGCCGCCTACCAGAGGGAAGGGGACAGGATACTGGCGCGGGTTACCCCTGGAATAGACGTCGTTGATGTACCCTGGGATCCAGCAGTACAGTGTTTTCACGATGACTGACCCGACATCTACCGTAGGGGTGGGAAAGGAGGCAATCTCTGGGGGACTAGATGGCGAAGTGAAGTAAAGCCCCTTGTAGCTGCTTGGGAGTTGGGCCAACGTTGTTGACGCCATTTTCGGATGTAGTACGAAGGCTTGATGGTGACTTAGACTGATCTCAAGAAGGAGGCAAGATAAGACTGTGAATATCGTGCGTGACAAGAAGGAAGACGAGGACAGAGGTTGCTGTTCTTCGACTCTTCCAGAACTAGAATCAGGTCAACAAGTAAATAGCCGATTCCATGGTCCGGATCGCTAACAGATGCTCGGCATGGCGAGCTCGCGAGGGTATTCGACGGGGATTACACGCCTGTAATCTCGTCAAGTTGTATACAAGGCGTGCGCATAGTTGCCTCGGATGCCCCTTGGTGCACGACTTGCATATGCACTACTGCGTGGGGGTTTTCAGAGGTATCGGTACCTACTGTTCATCCCCTCTTGTTTTGCGAGCAAAGGGACGCCGACGCAGCGCTCATCAACTTGTGAATGCCCAACCGTTGACCCCGTTTTCCGCCCGGCTAAATTTCCGCAGAGGAGGAGGAGCGCAGAGGAGGAGGAGGAGGCGCACTACGTCACGCAATTCTCTCGGTAAGCACCCGGGATCCGGTCCGATTGCTCGCCTTCACCGAAATGCCTTGTAGGCATGCGTGGGATGCAGATAGTGCAGTGTAACATCAAATGGGAAGAAAGGGTAAGTTTGCCCGCCTCCCCCTCTCCCTAGTCTCCTCTTGACAGGATGAATAGCCGCAGAGCTTACCTGTGTGACGTACGACGTATGGTGCCAAGGTGTGTTGGAGGTAGGTCTGCATGCCACGGGGAACAAACACACCGAACTTGGCAGGTGGAAACAAAAGAACCATCCCATCCCATTAATAAGCGAAAACTACTTAAGAACTTGACGTCTGACATGGTGGTCAGTCTGAAGTAGTTGTCCACCAAGTCATCGGAGTGGGAGAATATCGTGCACTCGTCGAGATCATCATGTCCGTGTACGTCATCACCGGAGCATCCAAGGGAATTGGGGTGAGTCTGCCTCTCGCCAGGTTACGTGCCACATGTACCTAATCCAGGCCAGTTCGAATTTCTCAGACAATTCTCGGAAGATTCAAAGAACCTTGTCGTTGGTCTGGTCCGCGATAAGGCTGGAACGGAAAAGAAGGTAGCGACGGAGCTCGGCAGCCGTCCCAATGTCCACATCCTCCACGCAGACCTCACCAGGTACGCCAGCCTGAAGCAGGCGGCTGCCGACACGGCTCAGATCGTCGGCGAGCGTGGCGTCGACTACCTGATTGCTAACGGAGGCGTGGTGCCCCTATTCGACGTCTACGGACCGATCGGTGACTTGTAAGTGCACCGCTCCTCTCTCGCGGCTCTCCGAGCTGGCATGTGCTAAAGGCTGTGTGTTCAACAGGAGCGACAGGCCCGAGGAGCTGGAGGCCGTTGGGTTAGAGCTGTGGCAGACCAATGTCGTTGGCAATATCCACCTCATCCACCTCTTCTTGCCCTTTGTTTTGAAGGGCAAAGTCAAGAAGGTCATCTTCATTTCCTCTGGACACGCCGACCTCGACTTTACCAACGCATTGGACGTTGATACGAGCCCGCTATATACTGCCTCCAAGTCAGCTATGAATGCTGTCATGTCCAAGTTCAGCACGCAGTACAAGAAAGACGGTGTGCTTTTCTTGAGCATCAGCCCGGGCTTGGTGGAGGTGGGCCGCTATTCAGACGGTGAGAATTCCCTCGTCTCGATGATAGAAGGATGTCGTCGTATTAATGTATGCCCCAGCTACTCCAGAGCAGCTCAAGGGCTTTGCATCATTCACGGATAAGCTTCCAGCCTATGCGCCGGACTTCAAGGGTCCACTCACTCCAGAGGAATCTGTCCGACTTGTCACGGAGACCTTCGAGAAAGCCAGCATCGAAGGTGGGTTTGGTGGTGCGTTTGTATCACAGTATGGAAACAAGCAGTGGATATAGGCCCAGGGTCATCGTTACAGGGCTTCGAAGGCCCTGTAGCACTGCAACCAGTCATCTTCGACACGGTGTATTTTCCTTCCTTCCTTCTGGATAGGTGCATGACAGGTAACCCGAAATTCATGATACGTATGATAACCCCCGAGTTCACGGTTGAGCGGGAGACTCAACGGTGAATTTGTGCAAGTGTGGCTGACTTGTGCACGCTAAGCCACGATCCAAGCGCAAGGGTGCGCAGGGTCAGCTCTCCGTCTCAGGCGGCGGGGCTCCGGGACCAATCCAGCTGTGATTGGGCTGGTAAAACCCATTTTGGGGGTTCTCCTTCTCCTGCCTCCTGCCTCCCATTGTGGTCATCATGTGGAAGAGCGGCCAATGGGGGTACAGAAAGGACCTAGCTCAGGGGTTCTTTTCTTTTGGCCCCTTTTTCTACTACCGTGTTCGCCTGTCATGTATTCACACAGTCTGGCGGCTTTTGTTCTTCTTCTTCTCCTTCCTTGCTTCTTCGGCACTTGCCTTGACCGAAAGCCTGACGTTGCAGCTTGGGGTGATTGCTGTTATTCAAGCGAGACCCCCCCCCCCCCCCCCACTCCAAAGCGGCGCCGAGGGAGAAGAACTCATTATACGTACAGGCCGAAGAAGGAGGGGGGCCACCGTCGACAAGCGGCAGATCCTCCCGCTGCGTACCCTGTGCCCTGCGCTGGGCCGCGTGTGTGCTATGGCGTGGTGTGTGGTGGGTGATCTGACCTGCCAGCCTACAACCGACAGGCTTTCCTTGCCCCGCCCCCCCTTCCCCCTCCCCCCTCTTTGATCCGATCGCGTGTGGCATCGATCCAGTCCCAGCGCACCAGAGTGGGTGCCTGGTGCCAGACGGGCTGAGGGGGTTTCAAGCGCGGCTGTCAATTTACCTGCTGCACCACAGTCCACGAATAGGAGCCAGCGGTGTGACTTGCACAAGATGCTTGGCTGGACGAGCACGAATAGGGGCACTCTTGACTCGCCTGTGGTCCCGTAGGGGAAAGGTTAGCGACGACATACGCTCGTGCGTAAGTGTGTTTGTCAATTGAGTGAGAGGAAACGGGATGAACAGTCTGGCGATGCGGACGGAGGAGTGGTCTAGTGAGCAATTGCTCACTCCAGTTGATCATGAAAGAAGAGTTTGTCGTCTCGCCTTGGCGAATGGGCAAGACTCGATATCGGACCCTCACGACTTCTTGGCTTTGGGTAGCTCTCCAGCAAAAAGTCAGGGAAACTTGAACTGGTGAATCGCCCACAGCAAACCCCAGTTGAGATGGGCTTCCAACTCATGGTCGGTCATGTATTCGCTCTCGTGCTGTTGGGGTTGGTCAAAGGGCCACCGAGCCGAAGAAATATGATTCCAAAGATAGTTATGTGCCGGGGCCCACGACCCAGCTTCAAGTCGGTACATGTCGTTTCATATCAGGTTGACGTGCCCGAGATGGGAACCAGGGCCAAGGTAGCGCGTAGGGTACTGTGTCGTGCTGCTGTGGGCAGAAGCCAGGGCGCCTTCCCCTGGTCCCTACCGCCCTGGGTCTGGGTAGCGTCCCAAGTACCTTCCTTGCCTTGCTTCTCTGTTCGCACCGTGAGGAGGGCACTGTAGCTTCCCACAATTAGTGGACCGAGCAACACCGCACAGCAGACGACAGCCCATCGCCGTCCACCTGCGTACAGTACCGTTCCACCGGTCGCTCTAAAAGCAAGGCATTGCACAGTGCTAACAACAAGGGGGGGGGGGGGGGTTCCGCCCCCTCAACCCATCCACACGGTCCCCAAGCCCAAGTTACATCCTGCCACAGGTGGCCAACCCCAAGCCCAAGTCCACGTCCAAATCACAAACCTCTTCTCGACTTCCTCTTCCCACCCTCATCCCATTCTCCAGGCGCATCACCTCCTACTAATGCCGTCTGTATATTGACACGTTTGCCCTTTTTTTGTCCTTCCCTTCCCCTCTTCTCTCCTTGTCCCCTCACACACGACTCTGGGAGCAAGGGACGAATTGACTTTGAGTCTGACGAGACGTACGTCCATTTGGTCTCGGTCCCGCTACGTCGCCCCATCGAATCGGTTTCCCCCAGTCGCCTGCTTCTAGGTGTCTCCAGTCACAGAACCCAAAAAAAAAAACAGGGCAGCACCCAAGTCATCCGGGATCATCTCGCTGAGCCCTGCCTCGACGACCTCATCCTTGGTCTCGACCCTGTCTTTTGCCCTCTCAACGCAAACTCGTCCTTCATCCACAGAGTGACCACCTGTCCAGCCAGACAGCCAGCCTGCCTGCAGATACGCACACCACATACGAACGGACATAGTCACGCCGCACATTCACCGTTGAACGGCTCCCGCCCCGACATTCCTTGACTGTCAAAAGAAGCAGAACGACACCGTTGTCTTCTCGTCTACCCGATTCATCGCATCGCCTCTATTCGAAGACCTTCCGACGCGGGTGTCCCTTGTAATATCTCTCGCAACACGACGGCTTTTTCTGACATCAAAGCCCTTTCGCCTTCGACCTTCGCTCCTTTGCAAACGAAACGAGATCCCCCGTTGACGAGCCCACTGTCCCCGACCTCGAACCCCTTTGGCACCTCGTCCTGCCTGGGTAATCCGACGCAAGACACAATACCGGTCCCTGTCGGTATTGCTTCCCTCTGCGTTCACGAATTCTTCTGCGCCAACTCGGTCTTCCGTCCAAACCCTTTTTTTCTCACCTTCTCTCCAACACACAACCCCGTCAACAGATCACCATCGCCACGGCGCGCTTCGTGTCACCAGAAAGAGAAGAGAAACCAACTAGTATCTGATGATCGTCGCCGGTAACAGTAATTGATAATGTCAACTTCGAGATCCGATCAATTGCCCATCGGGTATCCGCCTCAGTCGGCATCTCAGACCCGTTCGACCTCCCCTTCCTCCACATCGCCCGCGGACTCCGCACTCGCGTCCGGTGTCCGCTCTTCCTTTGGCCTGCCCCCTGGCCTGAACCCTCCTGGCAAGATGGCATCCAACTCGCGATCAGGGACTGGCTCTCCGTCGCACGAAATGCCGGGTTCAAGCAGGTTATACTCCAAGAGGTCTGTTGACCCTCCTTCCTTCCTTGCCGTTCAGGATGCAAAAGATCTGCCCTCGCATCATGCTAACCTCGAGAACCACAGAGCCAGAGAGATCCAGGCACAAGAAGGCATTCCTGGTCTTCCCCTCAACCCTTGGGGCGGACCGCCCACAAGTGGCAACTCGACGCCCCTCCGCGAGAACATCCCCGAATCGCCCACCGATGGCTTCCCCGACTTTGCTCCTCCTATGCCTGCTTCCGAGTTGCCCCAAGCTCGCCGTGCCCGGGCTGGCACTTTGCCCTCCCGCTTCTCACCCGGCGGACCAAACCTCCCGCCTGGCCTGTCCAGGTCCAACCGAGTCACACCTTCCCACACCCCGCTCAAGTCGCCCTCGCCGGCCCTCGACGGCAACGAACAATCGTCCAGCAGCTCCGCGCTGCTGTCCCGCCTTCGTGCCGGATCCATGCCCCAGCGGAGCCCGTTCGCTCACGTGCCCGGCACCAGCTCCCCTTTTGGCCCCTCCATCTTCAGTAGCTGGAATCCAGCCGGCGTCGGTCGTGAGCGTGGTTCGACTCTGGCTAGCATCGCGAGCATTGGTTCCAACGGACCGAGCTCCCCCGCCCAGTCTCACTTTTCGAAGGAAGGCGCGGGTGAGAATGATGTGCATATGCGGACTCTTGACTACCTAGGACTCGCCGAGACGCCGCAGCCGCCCCGTGCTCAGCTTGCCACCCCGTACCTGCCTGCTAACTACAACGACTTGTCGAAAGCTAGCCGCTTCCGATCCTATTCGGTGAACAACAAGGACAAGTACGCAGACGAGGAGGATGATTACGACGAGATGGACGGCATGTACCTCGAAAGCCAGTATGCAGCCCAGCTGCAGGATCAGCTCGCCGCCACCAATGCTGCTATTCACAGCCATAACATGGCGGTGCAGGCTTTTGTCAACCAAGCCAGCCGTCCCCGCGCGCGAACCGCTGGCGTCCTGGACACTCCCGGTTCGCGACTGATGCGTACCTACCTTCCAAACAACGGCGGCGGACCCCCTCCGCTCTCTTCCGCCGAACTTCGCCTCCCCGACGACAAGGACTACGATGAACTGCCGCAGGCTGTCGCTGCTATGAACCTGGGACGGTCCAACAGCCGAAACGCCGGTCTGCTGAACGCTGAGGATCAAGGACTTGAGGGACCTACCAGTGCTCTATGGCTGGGAAGCATTCCCACCTCCACCACCACCTCTACCCTGACCGAGATGTTCAAGTCCTATGGCCCGATCTTATCAGCGCGAGTCCTCACCCACAAGAACTGTGGATTCGTCAATTTCGAGCGCGTTGAGAGTGCCATCACTGCCAAAGCGAGCATGAACGGCAAAGAGATCTTCCCCGGCGCTGGCCCTATCCGTATCAACTTTGCCAAGCCCCCCTCTGCCTCAAACACCCCCGGTCACGACGGTGTGTTCCCTTCGCCCAGTCCCGATCCCTTCGCCAAAGGACAAGAGAATGCTCAGGGTGGCGCTGGATCGGCCCCGAACCCAGCAGACGGTTCCACTGTGCCGGCTCGCTCCGTCAACACTCCTCCCAACGCCCCGTCCCTGCAGGAATCAACCGCCGACATCCTCCAGATCGTCAAGCAGTTCCAGGCCTCGGAGGAGGATCTGTACAGGATATCCGGTAACCTGCAATCCGCCGTTCAGTTCGACGCTTTCGTCGAAGAGATCCCTCCCATCCGTGAGCCCGCGCACTCGCGTGTCCACGATGCCCCCAAGCTGCGCGACATTCGCAAGAGGATCGACAACCAGAGCCTGTCAAAGTCAGAGATTGAGAATATCGCCGTCGACATGCTCTCGGAGATCGCTGAGCTCTCCTCCGATTACCTCGGCAACACGGTCGTACAGAAGCTCTTCGAGCACTGCTCGGATGAGCTGCGTGACGCCATGCTGGCCGAGATTGCGCCTCACCTGGCCGAGATTGGTGTGCACAAGAACGGCACCTGGGCGGCACAGAAGATCATTGATGTTTGCAAGACGCCGCAGCAGATGATGCTGATCGTGGAGCACTTGCGCCCCTATACCATTGGTCTTTTCCTGGACCAGTACGGCAACTACGTCTTGCAAGGCTGCCTCAAGTTCGGTGCGCCGTACAATGACTTCATTTTCGAGACCATGGTCGGTAGGTTGTGGGATGTCGCTCAAGGTCGCTACGGCGCTCGCGCCATGAGGGCCTGCCTTGAGAGCCACCACTCCACCAAGGACCAGCAGCGAATGCTTGCTGCCGTCATCGCTCTGCACAGCGTGCAGCTGGCGACCAATGCGAACGGTGCACTGCTTCTCACCTGGTTCCTCGATACTTGTACCTTCCCTCAGCGCCGCACGGTCCTCTCGCCGCAGCTCGTCCCCTATCTGGTGCACCTCTGCACCCACAAGGTTGCGTACCTCACTGTTCTCAAGGTCATCAACCAGAAGGCAGAGCCCGAGGCCCGCGACACAATCCTCAAGGCCCTGTTCTTTACGCCCAAGGATCACGTGCTGGAGGCCATTCTCAGCGACCACGCCTGCGGAGCGACGCTCATCTTCAAGGTGCTGACGACGCCCTTCTTCGATGAGACGATTCGTAGCCAGGTCGTCGAGAACGTGAAGAATGTCTTGATCCGCATCAAGGCACAGCCGGGCCAGGGCTACAAGCGCCTTATGGATGAGGTCGGCCTTTCGACGCGCAACGCGACCGGTGGTGCCTCCCGTGATCACAGCAACGAACAGCGCCAGCGCCCCTCGTCTCGCCAAGCCAACATCAACGGCCACCAGCAGGCGGCGCCCGGCAACAAGCAGTTCTACAACCAGATGAACCCCGCATCTACCCCCAACTACGATGCAGGCGGCTTCAATGGCCAGCGGAACGACGCAGCCGACGCCAGCATGGCTCCCTTCCCTTCCTACGGAGGTCAGAACCCCGCCATGTTCAACCCGGCCAACCAGATGCCTCCCACCCCGGCCAACCTGCAGCAGATGCAGTATCAGCAGAACATGCTTCAACGTGGCACTCCTCCCAACTTCTTCCCTCCCATGCAGGCCGGCTTCAGCCCTAGCCCGTCAATGGACCACTACAGGAACCAGAACATGCCCAATGGAAGCCCGATCCAGCCGGCTGCGACGCAGGCCCCCCCCGGCATGGGCCCTGCCCCAGGCTACGGAGCCCCTAGCTATGGCATGAGCATGGGCATGCCCGGCGGATACGGTTACAATGGAAACATGGGCGGTATGCAGAACCTCAACGGCATGCAGAACATGGGCTACATGCAGCAGGAACAGGTCAATGGCAGACGTGGTCGAGTAGGTCGTTCCCACCCAGGGCATCCTCGCTAGAAGCGCAAGACAACCAAGAACTAACGTCCGTTCCTTTGAAGCGATGATTTGACAGCCCCGCGCTTCGTCTCGGACTCCCTACGCTCCATCGCCACATGACGACCACTGGATGAGGTCGAGGCGACCCGTGTCACCAGCATGCAACCACGAGGGGAAAGCTTTTTGGGAAATGGAGAAGACTCGGCACACTGGCGTTGCAGGAATATTTTGAGGTACATGCGAGAGTTTCTGTGGTTTTTTCCGAGTGATTTCTTTCCTTCTTCTCTACGCTTGTCTCCATTGCACTTTGGCTTTGAAGCTTCATCTTTGTCTTACAGACTGGCGGCAGAGGGGACAAGGGGGCACCCAGCCCGTGTGTTCCCTCTGTCATGTTCCGATCCGCCTGTCCATCCCCGGGGAGGGCGTTGGTGTATATAGAGAGCGCTGTCATGAAAAGCGGGGGGACTGTTTCGCCTTGTCTCTGTGACGAGAAAGGGCGACAACGCCACCGAGGGATGGATGGACTGTGGGCGGGCTCAAATCGGTGACGCGAGGGCTGCATGACTAGGGAGACATGCCAAACCAAACAACGCGCGTGATCGGCGTGGGGTAAGCACGAGAGCGACAGACAGTGAGAGCGAGAGAGAGAGAACCTTCTGTGAGGGAATGTCACACACCATGTCGATAGCTACGCCTGTTCGAATTGGCTTTCTTGCAAGAAAATAACTCTTCGGTTTTCACTACATGCCTCCTTGACGTTGCCGTTCTGTATTACGTTGTTTTGATGTGACTACTGCTAAGACAGTGAAGTAGTAGACAAGGACGAATAGCTGGACGTCGGCGAGCGATCAGGTCCTCGCTCCGCAGGAGGACGGGACGGTGCCCAGCCAGCCAGCCTTCCTCTCTCTTGGAGGCTGTCGACCGGCATGTTCCGGGGAATGGTTTGCAGGAAAGGAGGAATACAAGTCCCAGAAAGGAAGAAGAGAAAAAACACTGATCATGTTGCATCATAAGACAAGGCATCGCGTAACCTCCACCGCGAAAATGACCAAGTAAATAACCGAATAACCGACAGAGACAGGGAGGGAGGGAGAGAAGACCCAGCACCGTCACTCAAGACGTCGGGGGCACAGGCTGCTCATTCACATCCCCCAAAAGCCCAGCAACGGGAGCAGGAGCAAGCGGCAGGGCAGGCATGGCAGGCAGGGCTGGCAGGGCAGGCAGGGCAGGCTCCTCAACGAGGGCGGGCTCGTTCATAATCTCCTCGTAGCACCGGGCATGCTCGTAGTTTGCGGGCCACCAGACGTAGCCGGCGGCCTGGTCCGCCTGGGGCTTGAGGTGCCGGATGAGGTCCTTCTGGCGCGCGCAGTGGGCCTCGCTGGGCTGGAGCTTGACGAGGAGGCTGGTGATCCTCTCCTGGCACCTCGCCTCCTGGTTCCTGGCCTCTTCAGACTGCCGGTAGAGGGCTTCGAGCTTTGCGTAGGTCTTGTGGTTGCGCGCGCGGGACTGCGCAATGTCGTCGAGAAGGTTCTCGATCTTGTCGGAGGGGTTGGGATCGGAGTTCTGGCTGCCGTGGTCTGGTTGTCGCGGGGTCAGAAACACGTACGTCACGGGAGAGCAGAGAGGGGAGGTGGAGAGAAGGAAGAAAAGGAAAGGGAAGAGCAGGGAGAGGAGGAGGAAATGGGAGTTTGGGAAAGAGACATACGATGAACGTGATGATGGTAGTGAACGTCGTTGGAGTCGTAGTTACGGTCGTGCGAGTCGTAGTTGCGGTCGTTGGAGTCGTAGCTGCGGTCGTGCGAGTCGTAGTTGCGGCTGTTGGCGTTGTAGTGACGGCTGCTGTCGTGGGATTCGTGCCGTCGGCCGACATTGATCTCTGTATTGCCTCTGCGGCGGCCGCTGGTGCTCACTTCGAGCTCGCGACGGCGGTCCTCATCCTCGCCCTCATCAGTGCGGCGGTTGCTCCTACCGTTTCTCCTGTGCCCCGACATCGAAACTTTGCCGGGAAAGCAAGTCACATGGAAATGGGGGCAGAAATCGGTCAAGAAGAGCTGTTTTGTTCAGATGAAAAGTGATGAATCTCTCGGTCAGAGTGTGGAGTCGGGCGTCTCAACTTTCAGCCTCTCAAGGCCTCCAACGCTGGTGTGCAATGCGACCTTATGTTCTCTTCTTTTCCTGCTCTTTGGCCTTCACATGTAGAATGGTTCGCGCACTATGTCAGCACGCCTGTATGGATGGTCCGTCCCGGCATTAGAGGGCTCGACGTGGACGTGCATAGACTTGGGCAGGGCTGCAGGCTCGCATAGGTCACGCCGTCATCAAGCCTGTCGACGGCGTCCGCCCGAGAGATGGGCAGCGCGAAGCTGGGTCTGCTTTCTGTTGCTACCCAACGAGACGAATTATCCAGGTTCAGCGAGCCTCACAGCTCAAGAGGCGCTGAGAAACCGCCGAGGTGAGCTCGTGGGCACATTGCCCCATGCTTCGCCGTCTTTGCACTTGACACGTCTGGCACACCTGCGGCGGAGGAGCATGAGGCCTGTTCAACGTAGAAGAAGCGCTGAGTCGGGCACCAAGGTCTGTACCATATTGCCTCCGAAGCCCAGCAAGCCTTGTGATGAAGCTATGAGGTCGGTGACCTAACGTCAACAGGGCGAGGCATTCAGAGAGCGATCTGGTTGGTGCCAAGCTGGTCGCGGTTGTTCAGGCGCCTAGCTAGGTATTGGCGCCATAACGACTACGCATGGCATGGTGATTCGGCTGATGACATCGAAGTCATGCGCCAGGCCGGCAATGGAATCTCTTCAGAGGGGGTGATACTTGTAGGAGATGAAAGTTGTCGAATCTGGCTGTCCCAAGGCTGAATGGGGCTCTCTCCTTCTTGACATACGACATGAGATGAGATGAGTGCAAGTGGTAGTGGAAGTGGGGCTACCAGAACGATCAAGTGGTCTGCGTATTGGCCAGTTCGCAAATGCCCCGCTCAGGATCGGACAGGGGAGGTTCGGTGGGTCTTGTAGCGGATCGGAGACTCGACTCAGCCCTGTACTGTAGCTCCTGCCCCACTTGGACGTTGGAGCTCAACCTCCTTCCCCTGGTCGGTCTGGACTGGGTCTTTAGACCTCTCCTCGTCGTCGTCCGCTTCTTCCTCCAGTTTCTGCTATCTCGCTGCCTGGCCGTTTATTGATTCTCTGGCCGATTGCAGCACCATGTCCGGCCACATTCTCAGTCCGGGGCCTCTTATCCTTCTTCAGACCGACTCTTAGCCATCTCTCTTGTGATGCTCGGCTGCCGCCTGCCTTGTCTCGTGCGTCCCATTTCTTCACCTCTTCTCCTGGCTTCCCCTTTCCAGGCCTACTCCGCATCATGGGTCGATCTGGCATCTCCAGAGTAAAGACGGGTTGCATCACCTGCAAGTACGTTTCCCTCTCCATCTCTTTCCATCTCTCTTTCGGAGGGAACAAATAATACACACTTGTTGACCACTGCGCAGGATTCGTAGGATAAAATGTGACGAGGCGCGTCCCGCTTGTCGACGCTGTGTCACGACAGGCAGGGCATGTGACGGCTACTCCACACCCTCCAATGCCAGCTACTCTTGGGCTCAGTTGCTACGCTCCAGCCCAACGCCAGGTCCTGCCGCCACCCACGCGGCCGGTGAACTCCGCGCCTTGGGCTTCTTCCGTGAAGTCGTCGCCCCTGTTCTCGCTGGGCCCCTGGATGGCTTTTTCTGGACCCACCTGGTGATCCAGTTCACCCACCAAGAGCAAGCCGCGAGGCACGCTGTGCTTGCCATCAGCTCGCTGTACGAGAACCTTCAGCAGGGCTTTGCCAGGTCACCCTTGGTCGAGAAGAATGCCTTCGCTGTCAAGCATTACAACGAGGCCATCAGGCAACTGAGGACCACAAACAGCCACGAGGCCGTGCTGCTCGTCTGCATTCTGTTCACCTGCATTGACATGTTGCGCGGCGACTGCGAGGGTGCCGTCAGTCACTGCCGGCATGGCATCAACATGGTGGCTGGGAACCGCGTAGACTCGTCCGTCGTCCGCGACCAGCTTTTGCCTGCCTTTTATCGCATGGCCATCTTTCCCTTCTTCTTCGGTGCGCGGCCCGAATCTTTTCCTGAAATCACGACCCGTCAAATACACAACCCCACCACGTTCTGGACCATCGCGGAGGCCCAGTCCTCTCTCGATCCGCTCGTTCTGCAGGTCATTCGATTTGTTCGATCTGCTGATGAGTATCGGCTCGGGCAGTCGACCGACGATGAGCCCGGCATGACGACCTTGCGTGAGCGGGTCAGTCTGGACGCAGCTCTAGACGGGTGGGCCAAGGCTTTCCACACATTTCAAAAGCAAAAAAGTCCTCAGCACGACCCCGACGACATGCGGACGCAAATCTTCGAGCGTCTACTCGGCATGAAATGGCTTGTTGCTAAGATCTGGATCGATACGTGCCTGTCAAGAGGGGAGATGGTGTATGATCTACACCTCGACAAGTTCCGCTCCATCATAGAACTTGCGCGGCAAGCCGAAGCTCGGAGGCAGGGACTACGTGACGTCCGCGCGAGCCCCAAGTTCACGTTTGAGATGGGGTTCGGACCGCTGCTGGCATTTGTCGTCATCAAATGCCGATCTCTGAGGCTGCGTGTTGCTGCTTTGAGTCTGATGAAGACACTAGCCTACAGAAGGGAGAGTCTTTGGGAGAACGGGACCATGATTGCGTCGGGGACACGAACGATCGAGGTGGAACATGGGTTACAAGGGGGACTGGACAATTACCAGGAGGCTCATAGCGATGACGAGGCACTCCCATCTGAAGAACAGCGGATCCAAGACTCGATCACGCTGAATGAGGAGCAAACCGTAACAAGCCACGACGGTGGCATCATCTTGCAGCAGAGGGTCGCGTATCTGATGAGAAGGCCAGGGGAATCCATCACAGTGCGAGACGAGTGGTACTCAGTAGCAGCCTAGGCGAGGCAGAGTTGGAGCGAGTAAATATGGTAGGTCTGCGGCTTAATCGTGTTGCTGTCCTGAAGCGCAAGCTGACCCTTCGCCAAATGAAACCACGCGATTGGTCGGTTCGCAACTTGAGATCAGGAACAAGCATGCGACAGGGGGGCGTGAACACGGAAGAGCCCAGAAATAGTCGTTCATGAGCATGGATACGCAACGCCCTTCTTCATATAAAGCTACAAGTCGGCTTTGGGTCGATTTGCTTGGAATTCGACCACCACAGGCTTCATACTTGCTTTCTACGATCTTGTGTCATTCCTTGATTTCTGTCAATACAGCCATGCGTTTGTCTGTATCCCTCCTGTTGGTCACTGTCACCGCTGTCAGCTGCCTGCCTTCAAGAACTGTCTCTACCGCGCCGACGCCTACACCTATACACGACAGACGGGAAGAGATACCCTCACTCTCAACCCAAGCGCCTGCGCCTAGGCAGTATTTCACAACCACGCAACATGTTACGATACCTGGCATGACAAATGACCATGTCACTCTGCCCGCCAAGACCATTGACATTGCCATTCCAACCTGCACCACCACTGCCAAGCCGGATTCCAATGGCCACGTACCGCCGGGAGAGTGCGGTGCCTTTTGGAACTACTACCCCAGTTTCGCGGCCGCAGCCGCCTTTGCCATCTTGTTCACGGTTCTGACGGCCATCCACATCTGGCAGGCCGCCAGGTACAAAAAGGTTCGTACGTCACACACAAGGTGTCATGTCCCTCCCGAAGAACCAGAGTCTAACAGGTCAGGCATGGTGCTGGGTTATCATCATGGCGAGCATCTGGGAGACCCTAGCCTTCCTCTTCCGCGCCATCAGCACAAAACACCAGCAGTCTAGCGGCATCTATCTTGTTTTCCAAATCTTTATCCTGCTGGCCCCCATTTGTAAGTATCCGATCCCCTATATTGGAAGCTCACTGCATGTCTGACATGTCGTCTGGAAAGGGGTCAACGCCTTCGCCTACATGACCCTCGGCCGTATGATCCACTTCTTCCACCCCCGGCAAGCCGTCCTCGGCCTCCCCGCCTCGACCCTCGCCGCCCTCTTCGTGGCCCTCGACATCGTCTCCTTCGCCGTTCAGCTCACCGGCGGCTCCATGGCCGGCCCCACCACGCCGCCCGCCGAGCAGATGCGCGCCATCCACATCTACATGGGCGGCATCGCCCTCCAGGAGTTCTTCATCCTCCTCTTCCTCGGCCTGACGCTCGTCTTCCACCGCGACATGCGCCGCGTCGCCGCCGCCACCGCCACGGCGAGCCCGGCCGGCAAGTCCTCCTCCTCCTCCTCCTCCTTCTCCTCCACCGCCGCCACCACCACCTGGCGCCCGCTGCTGTGGGCCCTCTACGTCTCGCTCGCCATGATCACGACGCGCATCGTCTTCCGCCTCGTCGAATTCTCGTCGGGCCACGAGACCGACAACCCGCTCCTCGTGCGCGAAGCCTACTTTTACGCCCTCGAGGCCGCGCCCATGGCCCTCGCCGTCGCGGCCTACAACGTCGCCCACCCGGCCGCCGTCATGCGCGGGCCCGAGTCGGAGATGCCCGGCCTGTTCGGCATGCTGAGGCAGAGCGTGGCGCGCAGGCGGCGGCGGGGCGCGGGACACGTGCCGCTCGAGAGGGATTCGGAGGAACAGGAGCTCACGTGTCATGGTCGACGCCGGTAGCTGTTTGCATATCCTGGTTCCTTGGCGGGATCTTGTATCGGCGGTCTGAGGAGGGGCAACGCAAGGGGTGGCGTCGTGTCGAGATATGTCTGAAGGATGTCTGCGAGAGGCTACTCGTGATCCGTTACTACTTGTCTACAGATGAAGGACCCCCCCCTCCCCCCCCCTTGGCGCGGCCCTGCAGAGATGTAGCGCACATGCTGGGGTATCGATAGCTGCAGTCCTCATGGGCGATATGCCGACCGTCAAAGCCAATCTGACTTTCCCAAGTTTGCTGCGCATCCGCATCTGGACGTGAACCAGGACGTAGCAGAATCTGCGAGACGAGTGGTCAGACAGACCCGAGATTCTCATCACCGACTCGACTGCCGTACCCTCTGTGAACACATCCCGCGCACCCGCAGCACGCCACGTCAATGAAGTGTATTCTCGGCAAGTATGATACAACACGTTCCCTAGCCTACCGGGAAACCTCGCGCGCCGTCGCGCTCGTAAAAGTGTATCCGTCTGCCTCGCCCTCCTCTCTTCTCTCCATGGCCATTCAGGCCCTCGAACTCCTATGCCGCACGCTCCTCGCTCGACGGCAAAGCGAGGAGGATATGTCCTCGCAGTCCCTCGGGATGAGGAGATCTTCAAACGGCCTCGGTGCCGCAAGACAGTCAACGCACCCGGCGCGCAACCCCTTCGCGCTCCCACCCTATCCACCTTCGAAAGACCATGGGTCCCGGGGCGCTAGAAGAAGAAAAGTAATAAACCAAAGCTGCCGAAGCGTCGCGCCACCCGAGCCCGCCGGTCCCAGGAATGTCCGTTCCCCTTTTGTTTTTGGAGGGGGGTGGCGAACATGGGGTGGCTGGGTGAACGGGCACGAGAAGAAAAAGAGACGCAGTTCTCCATTCAACGCCGGGCCATCCACCGATGTGGGGGGGGAATCAATTTATGAGAAAAGTAAGAAATGGAGACCCTGGAATGAAAAATCGAGAGTGTCGTTTATTCGCCGTGCCCAGTCCGAAGACCACGTCTCGCGTGGTACACTCGGACACAGAAAAGGGGTATTACGTGGTCGGAGAGAGTGTATGAGTGACAACTTAATCGACATCCATAATGCCGGCCTCACCCTGGTCGGATTTGCTGTTGGCAGACTCGAGGTGATCTGGGCCTGTCGTGGCAGGTGTAGGAAGATCGACCTCGGCCGACTCAGTCTTTGCGGATAGAGCATCGCCGTCGCGGGCCGTGGGGCTCTGGCCCGCCAACGCAGCATGGATGCGTGCTTCCATGGCCTTGCACTCCGCGAGCATGGCCTGAAGGCTCTGCTGGTCTCGCTGGCCCAGGTTGCCGCTGGCGAGGTTCGTGGCGTCGCCGCGCGCTATGAGCGACAGGACAGCAGGATCGGCGTTATCCTGGACGGTTGTTAGGAAATGCGACGTTGCAGGATGGTCCGTCTCAAAACCTACCAGAAGAGCTGTGGTGAGCTGAGAAATACCGTCGCTGTTGGATTCGCGCAGCTGAGCCAGGTTCAGCGCTGCCTGGTGTTCCGTGATCGACACCTGGCCGATCATGGGGCGCGACTCTGGCGCAGCCTCCAGTTGTTCGTCGTCGGGGGCTGCTGGAGCAACGGGTTTCCTCCGGAGAACCCTGGACAAGTCAGTAACTAGAACCTCAGCATTCTAGCAGAACGAAACATACTGTGAGACAAAATCCAAGACGATGCCCTTCTCGGGCAAGCGGTAGGTACGGCCAAACGAGGTAACGTCGTTCCATCCGCTGTCATTGTCAGACTCGTCGTTGATGACCTCGATGAAGCCATTGTTCTTCATGCCACGACTGTACAGCGGGGTGATAACCGTGGCATCGCGAATCTTGCGATACTTGTGGGCGGGGGCGAGGCTGCCGGGAAGCTTCGCCAGCAAGTCATCATTGTGAGCCGGGCAGACCCAGGTGCGCAGAACCGGCGGGATGGCGAGCGGCGGGTCGAGACAGTCCAGATGCCAGTGCAGACCACAAATGCTGCACGGAATGATGGAACGGTCGCTGGCCGTCGCTTGCTGGCAGTTGTGGCACAAGACTGGCGACCCATCTGCATCGCGGACTTTGTGGAAGTCCGGCGCCTCCTCGTAACCACCTCGTTTCCTGGTACAAGTCAGCTGACATGCGCACAATGGCCGCTGCCGCCGACGAGGGCGGCAAGAGGGACGCTTTCACATACTTGGGAACCTTGGGCACCACGGCGTTTTCTTCCTCGTAGTCCCCCTGAGGACCAGCTCGCACATTTTCAAAGTAGGTCTGGATGTGCTGCGGCAGCTCAAACGCCCCTGGATTGGTCTTGTCAAGCACCGCCAGGAGGGCACCGAAATGGCCCGGCCTCTTGTCAGATGATCGGGTCGGAAACCTCGTTCCGATGCACCGTTGACAAAACCATTCATCAGGGAGAGGCTCGTCGACGAGCAGATCGACGCACTCGAAATGGAAGGACCGGGAGCAGTGCTCACAGCAGACGAGTTCACCTACGCCGCCGCACGCCGAGCAATAATCGTCGTTGTCATCCTGCCACCTCGAATTAGCCAAATTTGTCTGCCAAGGGGGGGGGACCGCGTATGCTGAGCAGGTGACCGGGATTGCGGGCAAATAAAAGTGGGAGATGAGCTGGTCGCTAAAACTCTGTGCGTGGGCGGCCAACCCGTTGGCATGACGAGGGGGGGGGGGGATGGGCTGGGCCTGGCGTGGGTGAGGAGAGGGAGAATGGGGGCCATCGAGCCAGATCGAGCAAGACAAAGCCAGGCTCACTCAGATCCACCCACATGACGAGCAGAGCATGGATGTAGTGATGAGGAAATGATGAGGAAATGCAGAGAAATGCAGAGAAACCACACGCAAAGCACAAGCACGTACCGAATTGAAGTGAGCCCCGCTAGATGAGAAAGGATGTCCCTCTCCGCTCTGGCGAGGTACGCCTGCTGCAGTGCCGATGGTCTTCTTCTTGGGCCTAGGAGAGAGAGAGTGTGTGTTAGATCGGAAGAGCATGAGACGAGGACAGAGGACACGCGATGGATTGATGATGCGCCTCGCTGCTCGCAAGGGAGGGAAAATATACGCACGATGACTTGACACGCAGCCCGGTGCCGGTGCGTTGCTTTTTGACAGCCCGCGTGCTGACGGGCGTGCCAGCTCTGGACGAGTTCACATTCGAGGCTACATCGGGTGGGAACGAACGAGCTGTCGGCGAGGAGGCTTCGAGCTCATCAAATCCCCTCTTGTTGGACCGCGTGGTTCGCCCGTTGGCCTGCGTTCCTGGTACGCTGGCGTTCCCTGCCACCGACTGTCGCGTCTTGCGTGTCGGCAAACCCGCGATTGGCGTGGACACGGGGGCCTCGAGCTCGTCCCAGAAGGGCGGATCGATGGCGCTGGTCGCATTCGCGCTGGCGCTGGCGCTGTTCTGCGTCTCGCCGCGGATTGAGCTCTCCTCGGGGGCATCGACGTCGGCAAAGTTGCTCTGAAGCCGCGCCGTTCTCCGCCTGGCCGTGTTGGCTTCGTCCACAGCGCTGACCTCGTTGTTGCTCTTTCCCTGCGCAGACGCCTTGGCATTTGCCTTCGCCGCTCGTGTCGTCTTGGAGCCCTTAGCTGGCCTGCCGACCGGCCTACGAGCGGGAACTGCGTCAGCAAATTGGGGCGACGAGGGAATGTCCGATATGGCAGGATCAGCAGGCGCAGGGCTGCCCGAGGATGACAAGGCCGAGGGGTCGGGTGCGTCGACGATCATCTTTGTGGTTTTTGCGTTGCGTTGTCGACTGGGCCGCAGTTCGTTGAAGATGATCTTGGCGCTCGTCGCGGGGGCGGCAGCCCCTTCGACGTTGCGATCACGGATAGCTGCAGGCGTAGGCGACGGCAGAGAAGGCGAGCCCGAAAGCTCCGACAGAGCAGACGAGTCGCTGCCTGCGGAGTCCCGACGAGCACGCCTCCGAGACGGCGTGACGAGGGCGCCGCCATCGCCGATGGTCGAGGGTTTCGCCATGAACGGCGATGCTGTGTGCTGCTTTCGCGATTTGTGCTTCCTCTTTGACGGCGTCACACCAATGGGCGTTGCTGGCACGGGCGCGGGCGCCTCGACGACTGGAGGCGGCACCGCAGGCGCAGGTGTGGGTTCAGGTGAACTCGGACGTCTTGCCTTGGTGAGATCGAGCGTGATGAGTTTGGCGTACGGTGCACGCTTCCTTTTTTGTCCGCTCATGCCGTTGGGATTTGGCGACGGTGGGCCAAAGTGATCGCGGGCTCGATTTTCCTTGTTACCTTCCCTCTTCTTCGCCTCGATGAGCTTCGCAAACTCGTCAACGACCGACGAGTCGGCAGTCTGAGAAAAGATGGACTCGACCAGAGTGAGAAAATGCGCGTCGGAGGACTTTTCGTCGTAAAGCGTACGCAGAGCCCATGCCGTGGGATAGCGGCAGTGATCGAGTGCCTCGTGAATCGCTTGCTCAATGACCCTTTCGATGCGCTCCCTGGCAGGCACGGTCTGTTCGGGAGCGGCCGTCGTGAGATCTGTCGCAGGGGCGGAAGCAGCGGTAGGCGTGGGAGTGGGAGTGGAGGCTGAGGCTGAGGCAGGAACAGGCGTCGAAGTAGAGACGGCGGCGGGTTGGTGCGAAGTGGAAGCGCGTCGACCCGTAGAGACTCTGTTGAGGCTCCGCCTCGACAGGGGATTGCGCAGCGTCGTCGTCGTCTTGGTGCCGGTGCTCTTCTGATCGTGCTCGTCGTCCGACTCGTTGGTAGGCAGTGCTCGCCGCATGGGCTTTTCCGCGGCTGCAGGTGCTGATGCTTCCTGGGCGAGAGGTTGCGGAGAGGGGGAGGCGGGCGTCACACTGTCTGGTGCGGAGCCAGAGCCAGACTCTGGCTTGGTTCCCAGCACGACCGACGCGGCCGCATCAGCACCAGCGCCGTCGCTGTCGACAGCCGTCGTTTCCACCCCTTCAGCAACCGTGCTGTAAGAAGATCTTCGATCGAATTCCGTCTTGGTCGCCGGCGGCGTGGGCGTGGATGCGGCAGCTGTGGCCGAGGCTCGCGCGGTCGCCTGCGCTGCCTGGAGGTGCGCCGTGCTCTTCTTCAGAATGATCCTGCGCACCGGCTGGCCTTCCTTCTTCTTCGCGACGGGGATCGACTTGGGCATCTCGCCAAGCGGCACCATGCCCTCGGTGACGCCGTACCGCACGAGTCCGTGGTCCTCATAGCTCGGTTTACTCTGCACGGAAGGTTCCAGCCACTTCTGCAGGAACGTCTTGGTCGTCGCGTCGTTGACCGAGCTCCTCGACGTCTCCAGAGGGCTCGGGCCAGGACCCGCGTTGGTGTTGGCCGTAGGCAGCTGAAGCGGGCTCGAGAATCGCGACCGTGTCGCTCGCGTGCTCGTGGCCATCCTGCGAAGCTCCTCCTCGAAATCCTCTTCTTCTTCTGCTTCTGCTTCTGCCTTCTCGACGTCCGCCGCCACGACCACCTCCTTCCTCCTTCTCTGTCGTTTTCCTATCGCGACGGTATAGTGCCAAAACAACCGGATGGGCTCCTGTTGGTCGCAATCGCGACGGTGCGCGTCGTGGGAGGTGCGGTCGGGGTTTTTCTGCGTCGCGCCTCAAGCTCGAGCTTCGCCGTTGCGCCCCCCTGGCTGGGGCCTCGACACACGCTCTCCAGAGATGGGGAAAAAAAGATAGGGAGAGATATAACACCTGCGCGTGCGGTTAGTCTCGTGCTTCGTATTGGGTAAAAAGTGGCATGTCTACTTCTCTGATGCTCCAAAGTGGCGAGCGACTCAAAATGCTTCGCGTATCCCCTATCTCGACGCGGTTGATCCAAGGGGGGGGAGGGAGAGGGAAGGGTGCCAAAGGCTGAGAGACGTCGAAGCTCTTTCTCGCAGGCGCAGAGGCTCCGTAATAGCGTGGCCGTGCCTTGGTTGAGCCACCGAGAGAAGCCCCAGCCAGCGGGCATGGGGGCCCTTTGGGGGGCATGTCTCGGCCTCCTCCAGCGGGTGCTTAGGTCATGATGGCCTGCCAAGCAACCACCCGTGTAGGCAGTGATAGGGCATCCTCCCTCGAGGCTATAGGCGTTGTCCACCAGACGCGTCTGGCTCGGGGCATCGCCCACCAAATGATAGGACATGCCGTGCCCAGAAAGTGCCATGAGGCGTCCTTGATGACACTGCAGCACCTCTTCGCCTCACCTGTCCACATCACCCGATCGCAGGTGTCTGGACACACCACCCACTGTCTTCTACTCATCCGGCGTCCCATCCTTCATCGGCGAGGCAGCTCTCTCCAGGCTCCAGGATGGACACGCCATCAGGTTCTCCCTAGGGCCTCGATAACCCATCACACAGGTGCAGGCGATCCATGGTCTGGTACACCAAGAGACCATGAATCAGCCCCTGACGATGCTGCCAGGCGCTCTACCAGGGACCACCCTCAACCTCTTCCCAGGGCCGCACAACCCGAGCGTCCGTACAGAACAGACCAGAGTCCCTGTCAGCGGCGGAAAAGCCACTCTATCCCCGAACCGCTGCCTCGCCCCATCGATGGCCTCCCCTCTCGCTTGATTGCATCATCCCATCGGCAACCGGAAATCTTTGCCCCTCGGCCTGAGGTACAGACCGACTCTTTAACATACTCTATCTGACAAGCTTTTTTTCTTTTCTGGGTTCCCATTCTCGGGCTGACTGACCTTCCAGATCGCTGATGCTCAGCACACCTGATCCAGGGGGTCATGAATCCCATCACCCGGCCGCCCACGACAGTCCCACATTCGCACTGCTATAGCAACCCGAGACTGCTGCTCCGGCGCAGCGCTCCACGGGGAGGGTGGAGGGCTGCAACGGCGGTCCGGGCTCTTTGGGCGTTGAGGCTCCCCCCCTCTCGTGGCCTTTCTGCTCCTCCTGCATCCCCATGAACTCTGATTAGGCTTGCAGGTCATCACGATCTCGTAGCCCCTGAATCAGTGTTCGGTATTGCTGAGTACGTGGACCCAGAGCACTGCATACCAGCCCGTACCATACCTTACCCGGCCACGGACCCCAACCTCCTCCATTTTGCCAGACGTGACCCTCCACGAAATGAGCCGGACGGAGATGCAGAAACACCAGCAGAATATGCCGCGCCGTGACTTGTCAGGCCGGGTCGGGTCGATTGGCCATTCACGTATATGCAGATGCAGTCCTCTCACTGACTAATGCCGACGCAATACACTTCTCACCGGGCTGTGCTGGCTGAAGACCACGACGTTCTGCGACCGATGAACCCTCTTCTTGTTTCTTTCTTGGTGTCCTTGACGAGGCTGCATCGGGTACTTCTGATGCCCTCCTGCTGCCAACCGCAGACCTAGCTAGCTAACAAGGCATACAGGATGATGCAGCAGCCCTACACTGCGCGTGCATCGGTATGTATCCCGAAGTGCGCCCACGCGGGCCATCAACACGATCCAGCATTTTTCGTACCAACCCGTGTCGTCCCACATCGTGAGCCAGGCCAGGGCAGCCCAAGCAGGGGCAGCAGGTCTACCTCTTCGCGAAAACAAGTTTGTGGGTCCTGCGCAAGCCCCATCGGCTTCGCAGGCCCTTCGACGAGGCATTCATCCATCGCTGCTCCACAACGTCCGCCACCAGCTTACTCGTCGTCGCTCTCCTCCTCCGAGCTCTCCTCGGCGGCGGCGGCGGCCTTCTTGGCGGGCTTCTTCTTCTTCTTGTTGTTCTTCTTCTTGCCGGTATTTCTGGCGATGGGCTGCTCGAGGATCTTGAGAATCTCCTCATCCTCAATCTTCTTATCCGTCTTGTACTTGCTCAAGTCAAGCGCAGGCGCGGCACCAAGCTTGGTGATGCCGTTCTTGGTGATGGCTGTAAATCGTCAGTACATGAATCCATAACTGTTTTTTTTTTCATGACGGCCTCCTGGAGAACCGAAACCAGGTGACTTCACATACCAATGGTGGTCAGGAGACGGCCAACAGGCGAGTTGTCCTTGTCACCAACGACCTCGTACTGGCGGAAGACGTTGCTGCGGACGCACTCGACGACACCAGTTTTGGCATCACGCTCGTCCTCAAGCTGGCGCAAGCTGAAGGGGAAGACGCCGAACTTCTTGACAACCTCGGAGAGGATCTTGCGCGACGTGGGGCGCTTGAGGCCGTAGGTCTGGAGGGTGCGGCGGTGCAGAGTGGTGCGGTTCTCGTACTGCTTGACCTTGCCGGAGCCCAGAGAGACACCCGTCTCAACACCCCAGACCTCGCCGAGCTCGGGGACGCCCTCGCCCTTGGAGCCCTCGCCGGGCGCGAGGACGATCTTCTTGGTGCCCTCGATCTCGTTGCGGTCGAACAGCCACGAGGTCGTGGACTCGACCAGGCTGCAGTCGTAGCTCTTGACGACCTTCTCGAGCAGGCTGGTGATCTTGGTCTGGGTAGGCGCCTTGGTCGAGGCGGCCTTGGCCTTCTCGTCGTCGGAGCCGAGGGTGCCAGGGGGGATCATGAGGCGGAGGAGAAGCTCATTGGCGTAGTACGTGGCGAGGACCAGGTCGGCGTTGCGGCCAGTGACCTCGCCCTCGGCGCCGGCGATGACGGTGTCGCAAACGATGGAGCCGAAGCCATCGATCTGGGCACCGAGCTGGATCTTGATGGGCTCATCGGCCTTGATCTCGACGGCAGCCTCAGACTCGTCGGTGGTCAGGGGCGTGTAAGGGGTGACGAAGGAAGAGGGCGAGACGGTCGTGGGGTGGGAGAAACCTGAGACAGAAGGTTAGCACGGCGCTCTCTCTGGACGGGACGGCAGGGGACGGCAGGCCTACCCTTGGTGACCTTCTTGCCACGGTAGACCTTGGCGAGCTCCTCCTCAATGAGGGCATCACCCTTCTGGCAGATCTCAACGATCTTGGCGCCGGGCACGATCAGCTTGGTGACCTCGGCGAGGACCTTCTCGGAGATCTGGGCAGCCGTCTTGTACTTGGTGAGGGTGTCAGGGTTGTTGAGCGTGTAGTCTGCAAGCTGTGTCAGCGCGATATCAAAGGCATTCGGCACGTCGCGCGGGGCCAGAGGGGTCAGCGTCGCGTGGTGCCGTCTCGAGAGCTGTTGTTGGATGGCGGGGTACGGCGACCGGGTGCAGCTCGAGGTGACGTGACGCACCCACCCGAGGAGCATCGGTCATGGGCACTAGGGACAAGAGAGAGCTACTCACCAACGGCCTCCTGCTTTTCCGCCATGGTGACTGATTTCTCGATGGCAAAACACTACTTGATGGGAAAGGGAGGGGGGGATGCTGTAGCCGGGAAGACTCGATCGAAGGCTCGGTCGAGGAAAGTTGTGGTGAGTGGGGGGAGGAGGGAGTGTGTCGCACGAGGTACAGAAGGAGGGGTAGTATTTAGGGTGTTTGCTGTATTTTCGCCTGTTCTGGGGCCAAGTGTGAGCGCGAGTGGCATCGATGGGTTTTTCGGTGCGGGGCACAGAGCCTGCCTGGCCTGGGAAGCGCCCAAGCCGCTCGACCTGCCCCTCTTCGCCCGTGTCACTTTGCCTCTGGGGATGTAGTCTCCAGCCCTGTTGAAGCGTGAGGGATACTTGCTGTCGAGCTCTCGTGACTTGGGAGTTCGAGCTTCCCTCTGGGCTGAGAGGTAGCTGGAGCTAGGTATCACGTCAGGGCATCGGGCATCCAAATGAATGCCGAGAACCATCGTCGTCTTTACAAGCTTCCGTTGGCCTTTCGCCGAGAGACCTTGAGCGGTGCAGTACATCATTGGCAGTGTGGCTTCCACAGCAAGCCTTTCCGTGTTGTTCTTGATGGTTCCGCTTTCTGCGTGGGGCAAGGCTTGGAGCATCTCCTCCAAGTAGGAGTGATGATCATAGCCCTCTTCCTCGTTGCGTCCTGCTGCGTCACGAGGTGATTGCTATAGACTAGACCGTCATTGCTCCAGACGGGGTTCATTTTCATCGATCATCATTTCAAGGGCCAGCTAATCCATCATCAGACAAACGGCAGGCAGCAACAACATCACACACCACCGCGGGCGTCTTTCTTCCATCAGTAACAATAGATCCGAGCCCGTTCCATCATGAAACGGCTGTCGGTTCATCAAGCGGAATGAACGGCCTCATGACCTTGTCAACGTACCAACCCGGCAACCCAAACGCCTCCTTCGCCTCGCTGATCCCGCGATTCATCCTGCCAACATACTCATCCAGCGGCTCCCCCTTGCCAACACAGTGAAAATTCACGTACACCAGCGCCTCCGCTTCGTGCCCTCCGCCGGGCCCCTGCTGCTCCCCAGGCGCGAAGACGACGACGGGCAGCGTCACCTTTTCGTACGCGATCGGCACGCCCTCGTACCCATCCAGCAGCTCTTCGTCAGCAGGCGGCAGGCGGTAGAGCACGCCGTAGACGCCGGTTCCCGTGGCCGTGCTCGTGCTCGTGCCAGTGGTATCCACGTTCTCTGACCGGCGGTAGACAACGTTGGCGTAGCCGCGCTCGTTGATGAGCCACTCCCATGGAGCGGGGAGGAAGGCGAGGCCGACGGGCGTCGAGGCGGGGCAGCGGCTCTTCATCTGTGTCGTGCTCAGATTCGAGCCGTAGGCAAAGTATAGTTTGTGCTGTGTGGCAGAGATCGCGTTGGCGTCTGGTTCCCGGGGGTGCGGCATGATGGCGAGCTGGCCGTGGTAGAGCGAAGAGAGAGAGATGCCCAAAGTTCACAATGGAGGCACATGTGCTGTAGGAAATGGCAAGATACACGGGTCGTTCGCGTCGCCTGGCAATTTGAAGAGATGAGGCAGGAAGTTTTGAAACCACGTCTGGAGGCGGGAATTCCTTGCTGTCTTTGTTCACACCAGCTTCACTTACGCTCAACGAAAGCTGAGCAGGGATGATTTGGCATCAATCACCTCATGTGTCGTTACGTAAGCTACAGCGTGGAACGTTTGTACCGAAAATCATAGGGAAGTGATGTCTGTCAGACACTTGCCTTTCTAATTCTGGAAGACGGGAAAAGAGGCGCCAAGTCGCTCTTGGACAGATCACACATGTCTGAGGTTCGCCTTCGGAGTCCCCTGCACTGCCACAGCTGTCGGCCATGAGCCTCACACACTAAGATAGGGGTCGAAGTAGGAAGATCGTCGTGGAAGAAGCATCAGGAACCAAGATACCGTTCGAAAGAGCTGACGGAACAGTCACGTCATCAGTTCTATATCCATGTTGGTAGAATGCCTTGATATACTGTTGCCTGCAAGCCGACAAACGCAACATGTCAGTATGCAAAGGTGGCTGAGCCCAAGGCGTGAACATGCAGGTTCCATCTCCATGTCCCCATACAAGCCTAGGAAACAAACCACTGCCTCTTGCCCTTTCTCAAGCTTCATGTCAATAACAGGAACCACGCAGACAAGTCCGCCCTAGCAGCCAGGCTCATGGGTGTTGGTGCAGGCGTGCTTCCTCTCTCAATCGCCGTCGACCAGCAACTGCATGGAAGCGGCAGTCCCAGAGCCAGCATCGTTGCTCGCGAGCCTCGCCATCAGCCCCTGAATGACAGATCCACACCATCACGACAACAAGGGGCCCAAGAGAACACAGCAACAACTGACAGTAACAGGCCTCAGCCCTGTGGTATTTCCCTTCTCTACACCTAGCAGCAAAACCCCCCTCCCCCACCCACAGAACGTCTCTTGTCTTAGCAATCCTGTTCTTCACCCTCCTTCTCCTCCTGGCCTTCCGCCTCCAGATCTGTCAGCTCCGAGTTCCTGATAGCTCCCATCAACCGCGCAGCCGTCTTCCATCTTTCTCCCAACCCATACCAAGCGCCTGCCATAATGAAAGCCAAAGGGGAAAAAAATGATGAAAAGAAAAAACCGACACAACGACATTCAATGATGAGGGAGCAAAAATGGGGCGAGAGAGTACAACAAATAAGGGTGCAAAATGATGAGGAACCCGCCCAGCCCGCTGCTCGCAAACAGCTTTGTCTACAGGGATTAAGAATGGAAGGGTACACTGTGCCTTCTACTTCCCAGGGTCGTACTATACAGAGTGGCCTGATGTGTTTTTTTCGGTTGGGAGAGAAACAAAGTACCTTGGCCGGTGGCGCGAGCCTGTACTGGCATACGGAGACTGTCGATAAGCGTGGAAGAGGACAGCATGATGCGTCAGCTGTCAGGTCGCTTGGGCTCGAACGGATCGGTTGGCTGCCTCCAGCTGTGTCCAGATGCTGTTCGAGGCGGACAGGCGTTGAAGGAACTGAACCTGAACCCAGTATAATTCCCAGCGTTGGCTTGTCTGGTTGAAGGACTGCGCAGACCGCATCTCCCCATCATTCCAGTAAGCGTAGGGGTGTAAAATCCAAGAGAATGCATCTGCACGCCTCCCATTCTCCCGTCCTGGCCTGTCTAGCCGTGGACGAGACGTGGGGAGGCATTCACAGCATCCCTGTGCTGTCGTCGTAGCCCATCTCCGGGCCAGGAGAAAAGGTCGCCAGGAAATCCAACGTCTCTTGCGACAGGTGGTTCACCTAGACCCCCGGTGCCTCGACCTTGAGTTTCGGCCGCGTATCGAACCCGCACCGTTTATCCACGTTCTTGCGATGGTTGCCCAGCCCCAGGTGCCGCTCAAAGTTGCCCGTCGTCATGTCCGGCCCCGGCGTGTACGACTTGCCAGGACAGTCCGTGCAGCGGATGCGCGGGAGGAACATCCAGCGGTGCCCGGGAGGTGTCGGCTGGCCAGCGGGGATGACCACGGGCAATTCGGTCTCAGGGTTGATGCAGGAGTGGCGCATGATGCCTTCGAACTGATCGTGGGGATACGTCTCGCGGAGTTCCTGGAGGCCTCGGGAGAGCCATTCGGGCGGGGGCGGCTATAGCGACAGTCAGCATTGGAGGGTACATCTTTCAGGGCCGCGCCAGGTCTCTTACCGGTGGCGGAGGGGGTTGCCCCTCGACCGGGTTCGGTGCTGACACGCCGCCGAGCAGCGCTTGCGGAGCAGCCGGCGTGCCAGCCTTGGGCAACATCTGGTTGTTGGAAGCCGGGGTCGAAGGTGGCGGCATGGAGCTCGGTGCCCTGTTGATGCTCGGCGTTCCTGGCGTTTGCGACCCGCTTGGGGTGATTCGTGCTCTCGGGTTCTGCAGGAATCTCCTCAGCTTATCCTTGTTGATTTTGAGCGTGATGATCATGGTCGTCGGCTCCTCCGTGTCGTCGCGCAGATCACGGCCGTAGCGGCCGGCATTCCTGCGCGTCTCGTGATGGTGGATGACGCTCGCCTCAGGGGTCTCGGAGCGCCCCAGGTTCGCCATGCGTTGCTGGGCGGCTGTTGCGGCCCCGCGTAGGCCCCTCGTCCTCGCCGTGCCGCCGCCGAGCTGCGAGATGGCGGGCGAGTCGGGTCCTGAGTCGTCGCTCGAGTCGGATTCGGAGAGATCGCCATCGCGGGCGCCTGGCCTCTTGCGTGTGCCGGGGGCTCCTGCGACCCTCTTGTACAGCGTTGTCTCGTCGAGGCTAGCAGCAGCGCCGGGTAACACAGACGAGACGATGAGCGTGCGGATTGTTCGTTGACGGTCCTTGAGATCGGGGAGCTGAGGTCCGCCTCGCCTGTTGATGGACCTCTTCTGTCGCCTCTGCTCTCGGGAGAAGACAAGCTCGTTGCGTTCTATATCAATGTCGTTCAGCTCATAGAGGTATGGCGCGTACTCCTTTGCTTGTTGCTGTGGTCGGAAGACGGCGGGTAGTGGCGATGGCAGGAAAGCGTTGATGAGGTCGGGATCTTCCACAGGGCGCCCATCAAAGGGATGGCCGACGCCGTAAAGGCTGCGCGTGAAGAGCTGGGTTTGCTCTCGAATGCAGTGCGCGATGGCGGTCGTGAATTCGCCGGAGAGGGACAGATCGCGAGCCATCGTGGCGGCAAACTCTTCAGGCGAGTTCAGAGGGTTGTTGATCTCCCACTCGAACTGGTCCACCAATGTATGCTGACCGATCGTGATGTTCAGCTTGATCAGTATCCTCATCTCGTCGTTCTTGTACGCTGAGTAGGGGAGCTCGGGATCGAGGGCATCCTCTTCGGAAAAGGCAAAGGGGTAAAAGTCCATCAGCTGGTCGTGCATCTGGTGCACAATGGCGTCGTGGACGTGCTTATTCGCCGGGCCCATCTCCAAACCTATATCTTCGATGAGCGTCTGCGCAAATGTGTCCAGGTGCACGATCCGGTCGTGGAGGTTCCACGTGAAAGTATCGCGCAGCTTCAGCTTGTCCGTGTCGACGTCGATGCGCACAGGCACCAGCTCTTCGTGCTGCTCCGCCTGCTTCTTGATGTCCTTTTTCTTCCACGTCAACGGCGGCGATCGCCTCTTTCCAAGTCGCGGCTTGAAAGCTGGGTAGAGAATTTGGGTTGGGAACGCCGTCTTGACCCGTGGGTCGATCTCTGTGTGGCCGTTGCCCCAACCGGCGTAGCCCTCGCCATAGAGCCGGGCGGGCGGGAAATACTGGCGGTGGGACTCGCGTATAATCTTGTACTCAGCGATTTTGTCGTTGTAGCGCTGGAAGCTGTCGGCGTTGTACCGCATGGCGATGCCCTGGGCGGCCTGGTTTTCCCAGTCGCGCGTCACATAGCGTTCGACCATGAGTTTCTGGAAGGATTCCTTGTCGCGCACGAGAACGGCAGGCGCGGGCTTGGCCTGGGCATCAGCTTGAGACGCGTCATCGTTGCCGTTGGCTGAGGCGGCTGCTGATGAGGAAGAGGCTGTCGCGCCGACAGGTGTGGCCGAGGGTGTGGGTGTCGACGCCGACGTGGATGTTGATGGTTGCGCGGCCATGGCTGTGCGCCGAGTCGCCGCGGCGATGCGGCAGGGCCCGTCGGGGATCGATCGGAAGGAGGTTCGGTGATATGTATCGTGTGGCGACTGCACGCGACGTGTTGGGATGTCGTCGTTGCCGATGGCGGGCGGAGCTCCAATTTCTTATTTCGAGGTTGGGTCGATGAAGCTGGGAAGCCTCATGTTCGCGCTTGCAGGATTGGACTGCCGTTTCCGTGATGCGGTGTTGCTGCTAACGCGGCAAAGTACTCCCGACCGTGTTACAGTGGGCAATTGGGTGGAAGAGACTTGGCTCTGCTAGCGCGTCAATTGGTTCACATCTCTTTGGTCGGCATTTCGGCTAAATACATGAGGCCAGATAACGAGGTGTTCTTGCGGCCGTCGCTACCTTGCATCAGGATCGCATGAACGGCCAATGGGAGCTACCTTGCTAAGCCGTATAGCACACAGCCTCGTTGTCAGTGGGACGTAGGTCAGGTTGGGACAAAGGCCAGACCAACTACCGTCTTCCCTTGACAAAAGTTCAAGACTATCACGGAACAGGTTGTGAAGAGGATCCATCTCAAAATCCAACGCTTCATTTATGATTCGTATCGTCTTGTACATACATATATGCAGAACGATACTTCCCGATGGAACTACCTAGGCTTCTTTCTTGAAGTGACGAGAAAAACAAGACGCCGTCGCGATGCAAATGTATAAAGGTCACCGTCTTCGCTCCCAATGCTTCACATAAAAAATGACACAAACCCAACGATCCCACTGATGACGCCAGCCAGAAATGGCCCAGCCAGTGGTGTCAATGCATACGCCGCGCTCTGCGCGGCCGCGGCGCCTCCACCGCGGAGTCCATGCGTGGCAGCCACCGGCTCTGCAACCGTGATGGCCGACGGCACCGAGCTGCGGCCCGTGCCAATCTCCAAAATGTTGGATCTCGTCGCGTTGAAACGCGTCTGCGCCAGCGAGATTTCGTTGTTTTCCATGTCATACACAATGTAGGCGGAGCGCATAAAAGTGTCGCCCAGGACATGAGTGCCCGCACCTGCTGGGGCGAGCCCGAAGAGGCAGGCGGGCGCGCCGTTCGAGAACGTAGGCTGACGGCCCGTAATCTTGAAGAGGTCGAGAACAAGCTCGCTGATGGGCACGGTGATTTTCGGCTTGGAGAAGGTGAAGGTCATGTTGGCCGGGGACTGGCGGAGCGCGCAGGGCACGAAAGCGACCGCTTGCTCTTCTTGGTAGACGGCACCGACCATCGAGTAAATCTCCTTGACCATGGCGTCCGGCAGGTAGGAGAGGGACGATCCCGAGTCGAGGAGGACGGCAATGGCCAGGTCGGAGCCCATGGTGGTAGAACCAAGAGTCACATCGGTCAGCGTCACAAGGAACTCGGAGTGGATGTCGGCATGCATCTGAATGGGGAGTGTCTGAAGCTCGCCAACAAAGTGCTCCGTATCCACACCGCCGAACAGGATGCTGCCGGTTGAAGCGCTGAGGCTGTTGAGGTACAGACTGAAGGCGTTGGACTGAATAAGACCTTGCGCTTTCATCTTGGCCGCAATGTTGTCATACGGATCCATCCCTGCTCGGCCGACCTGGACCTCATTCATGGGATAGCCGACACCCAGAATGCCCTGCGCAGCTGAGCTCTCATAGCCGATACCAAACTGGAAATCAGTGAGCACGGTGCCGCCAATGTTGAAATCGTCAGTCACGTAGTCACCCGTGGCGCCGGACCCGTCGACGTAGGAGATGTTGAAATAGCTGCCGAGATAGTTGTATGATGACGACTGATTGGCAGCGTACATGCCCGATAGGGCACAAGGATTAGGGACCTCCTGACAGAGCTGTGAGCTGGCGGTGTTGACCCAGAGGTCACTGCTGCCTGTATCCAGATGCAGGCGGAACGGCTGGGGAGGGTTGCCGAGAGTGGCGTTGACAAAGTACAGGGTTTGCTGAGAGGGTGCCGGTCAGTGGTATGTTCCTAGCTGGCCGATGGCGCCGTACGTACCAGGTTGTCTAATGAAGCTGTAACAGTATTTCTCCGCCGCATGCTATTCTTGTCGTTTGGAGCCTGGATGATCTTGCTTTCCAAGTCGAAACCGATGACCCGGGCGGGACTGCCGTCTCTCTTCCGTAATGCGACGGCCTCGCCAGTCGAAGACAGCAGTATGGAGGAGAGAACCCATATTGGTATTGTCCTCATGATGGCGGAGAATGAAGGTGAAGGACAGCCGGCGACCTTGTTGGCAGACCGGTGCCGGGGGCGGGGCAGAACTCAGGAAACACAAGAAGCGTGTTGCGATACCATCGGGCTGACTGACGGATAAAAAGCAATCAATGTTCTATTCGTCGAATGAAGGACTGGAAAGGGCCTCCCAAGAGGTAAGTCGACGCCGGGCCGGGAAGAAGAATAGAAGGCGATGCTCGTGCAAGGGTTTTGAGCTGTAGATTGACAAGAAATTAAAGTCCGCTTGGAGTCGTATGGTTGTTGATATGGAGGAGCCCTCAGTATTAGCGACGGTCCTGCGCGCAGATAGGCGGGACAGACAAAGTGAGTATACAGGTAGACGAAAGGAGAAATACGGGTGAGCAGAGTCAAGAACAAAAGAAGAGGGATGAGTGTTTGGTGTCGGAGAGTACCGATGATGATATGCGAGGGTAGCAAAAGAAGGATGGCTTCGCAAGCAGGGTCAAGGGCATGAAAAGACGAGAAACCCGAGAGACTGGCAGATCGTCTTGGAATAGAACAATGGGTCAGGAAACAAGACGGCGGGGAGCACGGTACGCTGGGTGACACGGCTAGGTGTTTTTGGCTGAGGAGCCCGAAAGCGATTTTCACCCCGACGGCCTCACAGAGGGGAAAGTAGAGAAGTGAATGCTACAAGGTCATCATGCTTGCGGGGGCCCAGAGGAGTCGCTTGTTTGGAAAGCCGTGAAGAGCTCGTCACCAGCGACAAGTGTGAGGGCGGCGGTGTGTCACTGCGCGCTCGAGTCGGGTCAGGGGACCAAAGAGAGGGCGTGGGCGCGAGGTTGAAACACGAAGGACGTCTGGGCGTCAGGGAGCCGAGCGACTTCTGTTACAACTCGCGTGGATCATCAGACAGGTCTGGAACCGCCGCAGCCATGCCACCTAAACCATTCAGGCAAGGCAGCCCAATTCGAAATTGCCATGGACGCAATCGGCAGAGCAGATCATAGGGCTGGGGAGTCGTCAGCGAGACGGGGCGTCGTGGGTATTCCATGAACATGGTGCTCCGCGCCCGAACGCAGATCCCCGTACTGTTATCTCGGGCCAAGGCGAACAGAGTGCTTGCCGCAAAGCTTGTCGTACACAAGCTAACATGCCGAGGGATGGCTTTGTCTGCTTCCCTTCGGCGACGGCGCAATGTTGATGAAGACCGGCGAATATGCAGCGTGTTTGAAGCGTCATACAGCAGCAACCCGTGAGACCCGGTTCGTTCGCAAGTGTTCCCAGTCCAAGCATGGTGGGGCTGTTATGTTTCGCTCTGGGATTCCATCAGACCGATTTCAGACTTCGGACGACGGTGAAAGGACAGGCCGATGGCGTGGACGCGGATCATGATCATGGTAGCGATGGTGACTGATGGATCTGAGGAGTGGCGCGTGCTGGACATGATCGCCGTGATGTCCTGAGAACATGGGGCAGGTTCCACAAGGAGAGGGGGGGCTGTGCGTCCAGTGGCTTATGTAATGCCCAGGCCCGTCATGCCATCTGTCGGCCAGTCAGACGACATCTCGAAACACCAGGCAGACCTACACCACCATCACCAATCATCCTTCGCTTTATCTGGATGCCTGGACGTCGATTGATCTTCCAGGAAAATTGAGAGGGAGCCGGCAAGCCACGAATCTTGGCATGACACTCTCGATCTGCGATGAAGCGACATGCCTCGGCCGTTGCACCATTCGGCTTGGGTGGTCGGCGTGCCTGCATCAGCTTAAAGTAAGCCGTGAGGCTGAAGACCGAGATAATCAGCCCGACGGCTGTGCCTCCCGTACAATATTTGCTAAATGTCTGCCTGGAATGGACTCCGTATAACTCGCGACGATGAACCGAAATTCTGAAGGATGCCGTGCCTCGTAGTGCCCCTCCCCTGACCTGGCCATTCTCATGCAAACCGTACTCTCCTCTTCGCCCGCCATGGATCTCGTTGCAAGCATGTACCGCTGGTTCGTCAAAGGGCACCCTACACATCAAGACGTGCCCAGCTAACCTCTTCCCCGAAAATGCCGGCAGCCCAGCATATGCCGTAAGCCCACCACCCCCATCTCTGTCGAAATTCCCATCCACGATCCCTAGTGGCAGTCACTCTGACAATTCCCCCCCCCAAAAATGACAGCCCGTCTTCGGCGCCCTGGGCTGCTGCTCAGCCATCACGCTGACCGTCATCGGCGCCTCCTACGGCACCGCCAAGTCGGCCCCCGCCATCTTCGCCTCCGGCGTCCTGCGCCCCGACCGCCTCATGCAGAACACGCTGTGCGCCGTCATGGCCCAGATCCTGGCCATCTACGGCCTCGTCGCCTCCGTCCTCATTGCCGGCGACCTCAGGGAGAAGACGACCCTCTTCGCGGCCTTCCTGCAGCTCGGTGCCGGGCTCGCCGTCGGGCTGAGCGGCATGGCGGCTGGTTTCAGCATTGGCATCGTCGGCGATGCGGGCGGTGCGTTTTCGTCACCCCTCCCCCTCCCCTCTTCCACCTCCCTCTCATCCTGGCCACCCCGCCCTCCCCTTCACCCGCAGGAGTAGTGCTTCGGCTAATGTACGCATGTGCTTGACAGTGAGAGCGAGCACCCAGCAGCCCAGGCTCTACTCTGGGATGGTACTGATTCTCATCTTTGCCGAGGTGCTGGGGTTGTACGGGGTCATCGTTGCCATTTTGATGCTCACTAGGTCGAAAGTTGATGTGACGGTGTGCGAGATCTGAGAGCCCTCCTCTTAGTGACATATATGCTCGGAATGCTGCCTTTGATATGGATGCGGACAAGATTGGCGTTCGCACTCGCTCAGGTCGGAATGCTGCCTTTGATATGGATGCGGACAAGATTGGCGTTCGCGCTCTCTCAGGCCGGAGAATCAGTAGTGACAGCGCTCAGATCACTTTGACTGCGCGAATGAAGTTGCGGGTTCAGTCGTACGTTATTGATGAAGAGAAACAAAAAATACCAACCTGAAGTTCGTGCACAGCTCTTCATATTGTCGCCATTATAAATGCCACGTCCATCACTCACGTCACCGTTCAAAAGCCACCGTTCAATCGCAAAGCTGAATTGTATTCCACCCACAGGGTACTCCCCGACACCCACGCTCGTGCAGCGGTCCCGCAGTATGTACAGCACAAACCATGCCCGGACTTTATACTCACACAACCCACTCGACAAGGTTGTCCCTCGTTGTGACAAATGGTTCATCGATCCTCTTGATGGCAAAGTCGCTGCATAGAATACTGCACACAGGATGAGTCAGGCAAACCTTGATGGAAGGGGTTGTCGTGTAAACGTACCAAGCCGAAGCAACGAGCGAGTCCAGCTCCATAATCATGGCCTCCCTCTTCACGCCACTGACGAGTCCCTTGCTGATCTGCACCTGCAGCTCCTTGATTCTCTTGCTCGTCCCGACGCCGGCTTGCTCGAGCACCTTTCGCCCGAGGCAGTCCGAGTGGAACGAGTGCTGGCACGGGAACACGAAGAATTGACGGCTCAACAGCGGAAGCCCACAAACGTAGCACTTCTCGCCCGGCTCGACAATGGCGTATCGTTGATCGAGGGCGGCAATGTCGACCTTGATGTTGGCGGCTGTCTGCGACGACTCGTCCATCTCCTTCTTGAGTCCGTCAATGTTCCGGCTGTAGTCTTCGAGCGCCGCGCAGATCTCTTCTTTGAAATCATCGATGACGACAAAGTCTGGGAAGAAGGGGATCAGATCTTCAATCTTGAGAAGGTCGCACCTCTTAAGGAATTCGATCGCTGTCTTGATGCCGTCTGACTGGGTGATGACCTTGCGGGCTACGGCGAGCCACAGCCGCTTGCGCAGAGGCGGATTCGACATGGGCCGGTCAGCAATGACAGACGCCAGCTCAATGGCATCATGGGAGAGAGCCAGATCTACTGCCTGTAGGTACTGGCCCATGCTCGTGTAGATGTGAACGCACGACAGTGTTCGGTGGTGTTGGATGCACAGGCGCAGCGCAAAGTCGGGGTCGTAGTCGGGTTCGTCGCCCTGAGCCTCCAGGTATGCGAGCAGGCCGGCCTCATCGGAGGAAGGATGAGACGCATGAATGGAGACCAGGGTATTGTGGACAGCTGAGTCTTTCGACTTGACCTGGTTGATGATGTATTGCAAATAACGAACTGCCTGGTTTTGGGGAAGTGGCCCCTTGAAGTTGCGGTTGTACTCCAAGAGTGCGGGGATGAGGCTTCGCGGCTTCAGGTCCGAGTGCCGCATTAAAATCTCCACCAGATCTGTTGCAACATGGGTCATGAGCACAGTACTGTAGCGGTAAAAGACTTCTGGATCTGTCTGCTTCTTCAGCACATTGAGGACTTCTGGCCACCTCTCGCGCTGGACCCAGTAGGACAGGACGTAGTTGTAATCGTTGACCGCGTTGGCAAAGTAGAGCAGTTCCCGCTCGCGGCCATGCGAGCTGACAACGTCGTATACTGTTCGTTTATCAAGGTCTTGCTTGTACTTATTGACGAATTCTTTGTACTCTTTCTCAACGTCCTGAAGTTGTTCCTTCGACTGTTTCGGGTTGAGGTTTTCGGTCAGTTCAGCCTGTGATATGATCGTATCATCAAGCGAGTTCAGCTTGGCCATGAAGACCTCCACAAGCCAGCTTGCAATCATGACTCTTTGCATAATGGCAGCCTTCTTCAGAGACCCAAGCTTGGCGAGCAAATACTTTCGCAAAGCGTCAGGCTGCGCATTGTCGATGAGCGATAGTGCGACCTCTTCAAAGGGCTTGTTACTGCGTCCGTACACCGCAGCCGCTTCCAGGAAGTGGCCTTTGCCCACCAAGTAATCACCGTATGCTGTAGCTACTGTTTCTTTCTGCGTTGTAGTCTTCGCATGTTGTAGCGCACCGTCAAACTGCTGCATTTTGAGCATGATCTGCCAAATGCTGCGGTCTTCGTCTGTGACAACAACCTCAAAAATCTCCTGGCTGGTAAAGAGCCAGAACGTATTCTTCTGCAGATCCACGTACAGCCCGAGAGCGGTCTGTCCGGCGTCGAGAACTATTTGGTCGTACACGATGGCCCCTGTCAGCCGATTGGTGGCTACTACACGGCCACCAACCAAGTGCAGGATGTGCCATTGAGTAAGTGCAATGGCATCCACGAACTCGGGTGATCCTCTCCTCTTCGATGCCTCGGCGTGAATCAAGTCCGTTCGCGCCTGAAGTTTTGAGCCGGCGAATACCTTCTTGCCCAGTTCTGCATCAGCATCTGTCAACAGCTTGCCGTGGAAGACGCCCTGCGATGTCAACCACGCATACGCCCTCTCGGCCTCTTCGTCGTCGTAGGGGTTCGTTTCGGGCGGATCCGGGGACACGACGAGCGAAGATGGTGCCGCACCTGAAGCTCGCGACAGTTCATGTATTGTAGGCTGCTCGGACTCGAAAACTTTGGTGTACACGGAACCATGGCTGTCGTACCCATTGCCAATCTTGCCAGAGAGGTGGAAGAGCCTACTCTGCTGCGCGATCATGAGCCGTCGGACGTCAGATTTCCCCTGCGGCGCATCCGCCCAGAGACCGGTAATAGGGCCATCTTGCAGCCGGTGGAGGTTCTTCAAGCGTATGTCCTTCTTGTAGAACTCAGAGGTCGCCTCAATAAGGGCTTCGTAGATGTTGCCGTCCGAGGCACCCAGAATGATTTCGCGCGTCGATGCGGTTGGCAATGAGGGATTCCATGCGACACTTTCTATCGAGACGCCTCGCAACCTAGCCAGCGGTCGGGGATTCTTGTGCTGCGAGTGCAGGTAGTAGTTTTCGCCGAGTGCCGTGCAAATAAGAAGATGCGATGCCGTGGGGTCGAGGAACATGCGGCGGATGACGCCTACTTCGGAGGTCTTTTTCGGGAGGTCAATGTCTATCACTGTGTTAGCCTCGCCCGCTGATACGTCGAGACACGATGGCGGACAAACCATCAATGTCTTCTGGCTTGTTGAGATCGATGCGCAGGATGCGCCCATTCGACAGGGCGAGGACGAGGACGTTGTTCGCCACCTGGGCCGCTACAAAATCGGCGGCGACGGAGAATTGCAGCTGCACTCGCTCGACGACGAACATGGGCAGTTCATCCGTGTCGAGGACGGCACCGAGGCCATCGGAGGTGGTGAGTGCCATGGTGGCTGTTTTATCGAGCTGGTGTTGCCATGCACTGTCGTTTCGCTTGTTGTAAAAATCGGTGGATTGAATCTCTTCGTTCGCCCGTCGTCCCAGGAGCCAACTGAGCTGTGTGGTGTCGTTGCCGAGGATCGAGACTGGCGGGGATGTCGTTGTTGACAAGGCAGCGAGCTCTGGGTGAGCTTCGCCTGAGGTGGCTGGAGGGATGATGTCGTTGGTTGAGGATGCGTCGAGCTCACGTCTCCACTTTTAGCCTGTGGAGGTCCTTCGGTGCTGAGCGAGCGCCCGCACTGGAGGACCGCTGAATAGAAGAGTGAGTATATCTACCTAGCCACAATCTCGACGTGATCAACATGACCTGCGGATGCGAAAACAACCTGCATGAGCGGTCACACAGGAATGCAGGGAATGCAGGGTTGTAATCATGAACCCTGGCTGTATTTCCACGTCTGACATGGTAGATCGTAACTGACAACCACGTTCAACCAATTCTGGGCCAGCACTTTGGCTGATCATTGCCCAATGGCGGGTGATTCCATCCATACTCCCGTCTCAATCCAACGCCTGCTTGAGAAGCATCCCTACGGTGACAGAAGAAGGTACAACAACAACAACGCCTCAATGTTTGCTGAAACACACGCAAAAAGCCATCCGCCACTGATACGCCAAAGGTGAAGCGCTTCAGTACCCCTGCCAGCATGGACGTTCATCCAAATAGAGTCCCTGGGTATCGTCCTATCCGCCCACATCCTCGGAGACAACTGGCAAAAGTTAGGGACTCAGAAGAGGGCCTCCTTCCCTTCTAGATCCATCCACTCCATCGCCGAAAAGCCGATACTGACTAATCCAGTCTCATATCATGCGTGACGACTTGAGGCACGAACTCCAGCTCCTCGCCTCGCCCCTGTTCCTCCTGTGGTACCGTTGCCGTCGGCTTCCTCCCGACGACTGACCGAATCTTCACATTGAGGCCTTTCGCCTTGATCGGATCTCTTGCGAAGCGTGTCATTTCGCGGGCGACGTTCAAGCATGCCTCCTTGACCTCGTCCGCTTCCCATCCCATGTGCTGTGTCAGCGGTCGTAGTGTTGAAGCCTCCAGTCCATCGATGCAGGAGATGAGCCACAGCTTGCCGCCGCCAGCCTCAATATTGATGGGGATGACGTGTTCCGTCATCTTAATGTCTACAAAGCCCGCCCTGTGTAACAGCGAAGGGCTGAGGTGTTGCAACCCTCGCGGCCGGCCGCTCTTTGCGGTGGAAAGAGTGAGATCCCTCGCGAGACGGTGAATATCCGATTCTTCGGGAAAAGATGAGAGGAACGCTTTCAGAGCGCTGCTAGAGTCGTCGATGTCCATCAGCTCTATCCAGCCGCCGGGCTTGATCACCGTGAATGCCTCCTGGTAGATGAAGTTCCAATCTTCAAAGGCGCCCAGCATGTCTCGAAAATGAACCAGATCAAAAGAATCCGGCTCTCTCGTCCACTCAAGCTCGGCATCGTCAATTTCGAAGAAGCAATTCGCCGGTACAGACGTTGGTTGTATAGCGGATATGTCGGTCCCAATCACCTCGCAATCAGGGAAGGCGTCTGACACAGCAATCGCCCATTCGCCAATGCCGGTACCAATATCTAATATCCTGTCGGGATCGTGAAGCGCAACCGATGAGAGTTCGCCGTCGAAAATGTCAAAGTAGATACGGTGGATCAAGCTCATTCGGCATTGTTCGTACTCGTCATTGGGCATATGGTAGTGCGGGCCACAGTACCGTCGACCGTGTTCCCACCGATAGTCCAAGTCTTGCTCTGTGATAGATCGTGTTGACGCCCTGTGCGACGAGTCCGTCTTGTCAGTCTCTGGGCCACGTGGAATATGCGGGCCGGTCGCACGCGATGCGGGGGATGTAAGGAAGGGAAAACCAACATTTCCATGTCGCGCTCGGTGGGCAATGGCTCGTCGGGATCATGCGCATCCACCAGGGCTGGGTATTCGCTATCGTTGGGGGCAGAGGTCGAGTGGTCGTCGCTCATGTTCGCATCGGCGTCATTGTCGGCGGCAAGGGCCCCAACGGCGCTGTTGAGCTCCTCTGAGCCCGTGACGCTGGTCATCTCGGTGTAGGTGCCGCCTTCGCTGTCCAGTCTGTCGCTAGAAAGTCCTCCGTCGCTCGACTTGCCTTCGGTGGACAGCGTAGACATAGTGCCCGTGCCGATTCCGTCAAGCGACTGGTTGTGGTGAGCGCGCGATCTAGGGCAGGTCCCTGAACGTTTCTTGGAGCGGCGATTTCTGGCCATCGAGAGGGCACTGCGGCCGGCTGTCGCTGTGAAGCTACGGCGATAGTGAGGATGGCTCCGAGATCGCCAAGAGCGACATGACAGTCGGGGCCGCGGTTCGAGACAGATACGGCGGCGGCGAAGGCGGAGGAGGCGGGAGCGGCAGCGGCAGCGGCAGCGCCTTTCGAGGGATGTTGGTTGGTGATGGGGGAAACGGCAAGAATGGTGGGCTGATGATTTTCTGGCCGTCCTGTCTCATTGAGTCCTCGTCGTGGGTCGAGGTCCAGGGTGAACCGTGCGGCAAAGCTGGAGAACCGTGCCTGCTCGAGTCGGGGGGCGCATGGGGGCTTTAGAAGAGGATCGGGGCCAGGCTTGAGGGCCCCGGAGCGCCAGGATGTTCAGTGTTGCGGTTCGTTTGGCAGTTGACGTCCCCAGTGAAGGACAGCCATCGCGGGGGCCCATTAGCACTGATGAGGAAGCATGCTCCGGCGCTGGGCCTGGGCACCAGCGTAGCGCCCAGCTTGGCATCACACCCCTTTTAGGCCTGGTCCTTTTCCACCTAAGCATGGATCAAGCTCTTTCTCTACCACACCATCTTTCTGAATGTCTGTTCCCACATCTTGTACCTACACAGGTACCAGAGCAGAGGCAGACGTCCATCCATCTCAATCTAGGTACTCCGATCTCCTTGAACATAGCAGCGAGTCGCAACTGGAACGGTCGAAACGGGGCCCTATCCGCACCGTCACCACATAACCCTTTTTCACAGTACATCAAATACTATCAGTATTACTGCGCCCACACACACAGGTTCCATCCATGTCGCACGCCTCCTGTGCAATGGTTGATCAGAAAGCTTCTGACAGCATACTACTGGCGCTTTCTGTCGCTGTTCCACGGGGATGGGCACCCCCTGTCCTGCCCCGACTGATTACCACAAAGTTATACATGTACATGTAGGATGCATGCGGAGGAACGGTGGCCCTGACTGTCCGTGGCTTGCTTTTCCTGGTCTATTGCAGGGAACAAGGGGCCGCCCGAGCAGCCTCCAACTTTGTGGGTTGTCGAATCCAATTGCGATGTGACAGCGGACTTTTTTTAACTGGTATCTGTACTTTGACACTAATTGTCCATGTTACAGTCGGTTCCGGCAAGCTCGGAGCACGACAATCCCTTCTGAATGTCGATGTTCATCCGGCTGGCCTTCCCGGCATATTCTCCTTGGACCCGGCCTTCGACGGAGTGGCAACGGCAGATGGAAGCTGCTTCGACAGATACGGTACAATAGCGTTCGCTCCGCCCGCTGCTTCCCAAGGCATATCAACCAAAGCCGGATTCTTGGCCTTCTGTCAAGCCGGTTGCGTAGTCCAGGCCAATGATCGCCCACCAAACAATCACCTGCAATCTCTGACCCAAATGGCGCATCGGTTCTCTCGAGGTTACCCCCGATCCCGGTCGTTCAGGGCCTGTTCGACTGCCCA